CTCGTCGGCTCACGCTCGCACGTTCACGTTTCCATGACTGTGACTTGATCAAGACTCACACAGATCCATTGTGTCACGGCAAAGATGCCCAGTCATCTGACACGAACGAGGCCTTCGCGAAGTCAATATGCATGACATGACAATCCACACGGGCAGACCTCGCACTGTCGCAATCAGCCGTCTTTGTGTGTGACTGGAGGCACTTGTCAGATAACACTTTGATAGAGATATCAAAATAATTGGCGCTATACTACAGGCTGAGCGGAGAGGGTAGTAATTAGAAGTCACCATAACGGCCCAGATATTGGCTTCGGCAGCCGGCGTAACTTCCGGGATGGACCTGGTGGTAATGTGCTTTGGATTTCCATCAGCTATCCTTAGTGAGCAATTCTATCTGGAAGCTCCTCGATCACCAAAATGCCAGAAGTACATCACAGGCGTAGTACATGGTGAGTCAGATGGACAGCAATTATATCTGTTCATGTCATAAATAACTTTCGATCTAATTCTAGTAAGGCTTTGTATTGCTCACCATGGATGAGGACTAGCGCCGGAAGCGGAGTTGTCAAAGCAAGCGACCATCAGCACGCCTTTCTAGCATGGCCCCCACGGCTGGAATGATCTGTTTTCGATTACCTCCACTGAAATCCTCCACTCCAGGACGACACAGATCCACCACATACCCCACCTTTGTCAGCTGAATGCGTACGTGGATCGAGTTCGGAACAAAGCAGACAACGGGAATGATTGGCATCATTTTTCCCATGGAGTAGACTGTGATCTGCCAGTGCGCATTCCAAACTTTTCGGCAGGTGTGTTCCGGTCGAGAGGCACTCTCCAACTTCCATGAGGGTCTGCCATTCGAGTCTGTCATACCGTTAAACGAAATATTTGGAACATCGAAGCAGTGCAGAGTCACGAAAACACCTGCGATAGGTCGTTTCTGCGTGTCGAGTACTTGGACAGTTATTTGCATGGCTGGCGGATTGCGAATCGCTGTACGTAGGCGCTTTTCAAATCAGTTCAAGCACATGGCGCTGGGACTTTTTATACCCTGTCGTGGCTAGGAATATACCCAAGCTAAGTGAGACACGTCGCATAAATGGTTCGAAGACACCAACGTGATCACTTAGTCTGCGATAACTGGAAGTACTATGGTAGGGTAACCTGTTATACCGCGTCCGATGTTGTGTAAGTAATAACGAGCTAACAAGTGCGAGTGGTGATCAACCTCTTATTAACTTACCGCGCAAACCCGTTAATTTCCTGGCCAAAGAGGGGGACAGCTCTACATCACATATATCTAGTGCGTACAGTGAAGTGGGTAAACCGTTACGTCCATGAAAGTGTAAAAGGCAAGTACGACACTCATCAGGGACCCAGCTTGTTCCTCCTATGACACTAATAACTCCGGTTCCAATACCGCTACATCAGATATAACATCTCGAAGTAGATGCCTCTTGTTCCATGCTTTGGAAAAGGAGACGGCGCATGTTCGTGATACACAATATTGACACTGAGGTCATCAAGCATTTGAGATTCCGTTAACAGGACGAGGCTCGAGACCGAGAGCTCGCTACGACATTCTTTCAACTCCACCTCCGACGAGACCTAATGGCTTGCGCACTGGCCCTTGGCGGATGTTCTTTGTTCTATTTCCTTTCCCTTCTTCAGTAGCATCTTCCTGTCTGCGGGTCTGTGATCCTGCCAGCGGATAGGCTCACTCAGAGGATCTTTCGCATACTCAAGGAATCGCTCTGCCCAGGCGTCGATGGAATGTCCTAAAGAATTTTATTGAGGTATCTGAAGCAGCTCGACGATACCTTGGGCACAACGGCCGCACGTGCCTGTCCATCCTGGAGCTGCATCTCGCGTCAGAGAAACTTGTTCCGCCATCTAACACGCACGCTCGATAACCTCTCCATGCCAAAAGAAACCTTCACGACATGTGATCCATTCTATGCCTTCGCATATTGGCTATCCTGCTACGTATTTGCGGATGTCTCTAATCTAAACCTCGATGTATCTTAGGCCAGCTTGTGTGGCGTTTCTGAAGCCTTTTGCCTGAACACCTCAGGTGTCAAATCCTCTAGGGAGATGCCACCAGTATGTCCACATCGATCACGGCTGCAACAAGTGTACGTCGACGCGACTTCACCGCAGTTGCCCCACATCACGTTCACAGCCTCTGCGAGGTTCTCCCCCATATTGACGACTTGGTGATATGTCCCTGGAAGAGTGACCACCAGCTCGCCTTCTCGACAGATTGTCTCACTGAAGTCGATGCCCCAGTCACGGAGAGCCTCAGTCGTTACGAGCAGATTTGCATGCCGCACAAACTGTGAGCAGTGTGGCGCTACACGTTGAGGCCTACGGGCATGTGTGCGCCACCGGAATGTCTCGCGGCATTTCTTCTCGAAGGCTCTCACATTCTCTTGCTCTGGCGTGACGAACAGCCATCGTTTGGGCGCGCCCCAGCGTACCATGTTGATTGACGGTACAGCGAGATCCTCTATATGCATGCCGCTTCCAGTGAGTGCATGTTTCGCATAGTACAGATATGGCGTCGTGATGCCTGGCTTGGCATCGTTCACAAAGAGGCTTTTAAGCTGAGGTCCGCAACTCAACAACGACGATGGCTTACCAAGCAAACAAGACCAGTCGCCAATATAGTACTGGCCGTGCATGACTGTGCGTCTTCGTAGCGCAGCAGCTGAGAAGAGGTTGTTGTTGTTAAGAACCGCGGGCGTGTGATTTGTGAACGAAATCATCTTCGGGCGGCGGTATGCGGTTTTAGGGTATTGTAAGTGAAACACAGCGTTTTCCCCCCGCGAGGGTTCGACCTTCGTCATGTAGAAGTCCACTCTAGACGTGTCGTCATCTGTTTCCAGCGGGAAGCTGGCGATTCCGTTTTCGGTAAAGATGCCTGAGGGACTGTAGTCGGCGATACGGCACTGCCAAAAGCCTTTGGCTACTGTATCTGAATCGTTGCAAAATCGGGCCAAGGTAGCACTGGTACTAGGGCCCAAGTCTTCCAAAGTGATGGTGACTGGCTCAGAGGTAGGGCTGTGAGATGATGAGATCGGTCGCGATGAGGAAGCCAGCGGCTGCAATTTCTTGTCGGTATCCATAATTATGAAGCGGCGTTCTTTGCGATGTTGACACCCTTATCTAGCTCCTGTTGTACAAGGATATTCCAAACTTGTGCGGAAACTTAGACAAGGGACGGGGACTTAAATGCCAACAGCTGCTTCCACTTCAACCGGCCCTTAGTCAACCGATGCTCAATTTCAGTCATGTTTTGTCATGAAAAAGTCTTTCAGACACAAGGTCACAGAAGCACATGAATAAGAGGGCTTCTCTCTGCTCTACTTTGACACTTCTTACCATATGTCAAACATTTGATCCTAGATGGTACTGCCGGTTGTTGACCTATTTATTGATTTTACATCATCTTACGCAGAAAAGTCCCTCTCGCTACCTGGTTCGTTACTTCAGTCCATTGAGCGGCCCACAAATCAATGAAGTCACACAGCTCTTAATAGCTGTTGAAGAGCCGATGTCATAATAGCTCAAGGATAGCTTTGAACCTAGGTTCCAATTTCCTGTCGCTACATCGCATCGGATGAGATCGAATGGAGCTGAACTCGGTTTGTATTGGCGCATGATATGCTGACACGACTTATATTGTAGTCTGTGTTCGTCGGAAGTGCCCAAATCAAATTCCTTCTTTTCGGCTTCCATCCGTCTGTGGAAGGGAGCAAACTACCCTCCTTAGTTACTGGGTGTGAAAAATTGGAAAGTGCCATCATCTACAAGACGACAATCTACTCGCTATCTAGATGGTCTCCCCCACTGCATACCATTGTGAGCTGCCTCCCAGTTCTAGCATATGTCAGTCACTTACAAGTATTGACCCGATCTACTTCACGAGACGCCATATCACACTCGAATAAAGTCTGACTGTTTGATGATCGAGCTGACATCGACGCCACTTCAGCAAATTGAATAGGAGCAAACGCACGCGCCAGGTTGTTCATGCACCAGGTACCGAGCTAAAGAACCACCTCAGGCTAGTGTCATCAGGGCAAAGCAAACGAATCACATGTGTTGAGAACCAAAACGGAGAGAAAATCGGTGGCGACAAATTCTTCACCTACTAAATCTAGTCTGATCTTCACGTTTTCCCCTTTGCATTGTCTAAGGACCCCCGCGATTTTGTCTCTCTGGTTGTTCTGCCTTAGTTCTGCCTGGGCTATCGAGGCGGCGGGGTTCGGCTGTGATGCGTTGCGATCAGAGGTCAATCCCAAACCGTTGTTCCCGTTCTCTTGGAGCAAAGTTGCGTACCGCGGCTGCAAACCTGCGCTCCGTTCACTATTGTCAGACTGCCCCAGCACATTCGCTACGGTAATTGTTTCACCTCGAGCGACCTGACTTATGATTAATCAGAGGTATGAGTAAGGCCAGCAAGGGTATCCTTATACAAGGGGATCGTACACTCATTATATAGATATGGGGTTTCTTTCCATAGCCATTCATTCGTCATACTCATGAATACACACACAATGACCCCTACCTGTCTAACTGCTGCTCGATAACTATATAGGCGCCCTAGACAATGACCGATCGCTAGGGCGGCGTAGAGACGTGAGTTAGATATCATGATTTCAAGAGTCTGAACCTCAGTCTATTCTATGACTATTTATCGAATGAACTGGTATTGAAGTTGAGGATATGGCTCCCCTTTGGAAGTAAATAATTAATATTATCCTGGATATTATAACTCTCTCTTGCTATACGCGACTCCTTTGGCTTCCGGCGCGCAAAAGATTGTTTTCTAAGCTCGGGGTTATTACCGAAAGCTGTAGCCAGGAAATCAAGGTCTGAAAGAAAAGTAACAGACCTTCGCCTCGCGGTGCCTTTCGGCTGTGTTCATGGGTGGGTAGACTGACTTGGGGCACACGTACATACAAAGAGGCAAACATGCCGAAGCCATTGTCATGTTATGCGAAGGAATAACGATAGGTCGGAGGGTCTGGGATAACGACAACCCTGAGACTGGCCGTTTTGAGCACGAACTGGCGGTGGCGTTAGGGTCTTGCGGCGAATACCGTCAAGCCCTAGACCTAATCCCAGGAGCCGTCGACAAACTCAACCGCTGCTTGGGACCTCGGCATCCCGACACTTTGACGGCCACGTATACCATGGGTGTCTTGTACAAAGATTTAGGTCTTTTGGGCGACGCTGCCGCCAAGTTTGAGGATGTTCTGAGGAGAAGTGAAGAGGCCTTCCCTGACGGGAACATCCACTTACTCCGATCAAGGTCAAGTCTTGCCTACGTTCGGTCTCGGCAAGGCAGGCTCGCGGAATCTGTAGAGACACAGCGCCATGTGCTGGAGACGATGGGAACTCAGTTTGGAGACGCCCATCCCGACACGCTTACTGCGATGGCCGATCTTGCCGAGACCCTGCGATGGACAGGAGATACGGCTGAGGCGGCTGGTTGGTATGGCCTGGTATTCAACAAGATGAGTGAGACGTTTGACAAGGACGCACCAGACATGATCGAGGCGCTGAGCGATTACGCGAACTCGCTCCTGGACGGAGGCAAGACGATCGAAGCGCGAGAGAAGTTAGCAGAGGTATTGAGATGGAGCGAGGAAAAGTTCGGCCACGACCATCTTCGCACCGTCATCGCAAGGAACAACCTTGCAGCCGCATGCCTTAAAGAGGGTCAACTGGAAGATGCGGAAAAGATGCTTATGTTGTCGTACAGCGTTTTGGATCAGTCGCCAGACAGCAGCATTGAGAACACTATCATCGTGGGCAGCAACCTAGTGTCTACGCTCTTTGAACTGGGAGTCGAGCGAAGGAGCATGGATCGTTTAACGAGAGCTACGCAGCTGCAGCAAGCTCTAGTTGAGGTGTCTCGATCATCTTTGGACATTGGGCACCCACTGACAGTTCGTGTAATGAGAAGCTGTGTTCTCATGCTGGAAACATTGAAAAGGTCGGAGGAGGCACAGCACATGAAAGCGCTACTCGCAGCGAACGTCATAAGCGGTCCATCCTGAGAGGGAGGGATCTTTGCATGCTTGAGATGGCCGGGCATTTGATATGCCGTGTTTACACGGCATCATCTGATAAAGACCGGATCGGACATCCCACATCAGCCATTGATGTTGGAAGCTCGTAGTGAGCAAATTCACTGTAGTTGGTTTCTGCGCCGCGTTCCTTTCCCTTCGCCTCCGCGACAACTGTGACCTTTCGCCCCTCTGCTTGGCTATGTGCCCGATGGCTTGCCGCAACGTAGCAACAGAAACACGGAGATCGCTGCGTTGGGCGTAACAGAGAGCGCGCATCCCAATAACCAGTGGCGTAGAGAACTTGAGGGACACAGATATGTCACCCTGAGGTACTGTTACATCAGGCACTCTGTCGCGAGCAGGTAAGATATGGTGGCTCATGTTCGTGTAAAACAAAGTTGTTTGTTGGGAGGAGACGCTTGAACTTTCCTCCCCACATGTTCCTCGTAAATCGAGGCTCCGAGAAGACTGATTGGCAACTCCGCAATATCTCGACCGAATTTTGCAACTGGCTTCGAAGGCTGTCTAGCATGGATCTAGTCTTTCACCCCAGCGCGTCATTTGGCTCGTCAGCATGCCAGGGTTCTTTCCAGAAAAAGAGATCTTGAATGCCTTTGGCGTTGTCGGGTAACAGGGACAGAATAGCATGCTCTGTCCGTGAAGCTCCAAATTCCGGCAGCAGGTGTCCCGCCGCCCCACCCGAGATGGACGGCTCTGACCCGGGACACCAAACGGATGCATTACTGGGGGCAACAAACCATGTTTCTCGGCATCGGCAGGATGGCAAGATCCCCGTAGCCAGCGGTAGAATCAACGCGGCAACATGCCACAACTATAGTTGTGGCTGGCTCGTGCGATTCGCGCAAGCAGGAGGATGCTAATATCGCTGAGCAACTGGGTGGCCTTCGCCTTCAACGAGCTTTGTCAAACAGAACTCAGCCACTCGGCAAAAGAACTGCGGCCTTCCCAGGCGAATCTGCCACGTATCCGCCCATTCTCAAGCCTAGGATTTTGCAAAGCCACACCCGTCCACCATGCAAACGGCTGATTCGGCGTTTACACTGCCTGCCTGAGGCTACTCCGCTCGGGGCCGATCAGGCCTGTCGGAATGGGCCAGACGGGTCCTTCCCGTGTACGTGCTGAACAAAGTCATCGGAGAAAGACTCACCGACGTCTCGAACATATACGACCCAGCTGTTCACTTGCCATTAGACGTTTGGCATTGTGTGCGGCTCAGAATGTAGGGTCACAGGAAGAGATGAGCGCATCAGTGCCCTGTGCACCCTGCGAATTGAAGTATTGACTATAGCGCTCAGGTCTGTGCCCCGCCCCGCCATGTCATCCGCTCTGTGCAGTGCTGTCCGGTACTTTTCAGCGGTGCATGGTAGATACAGGAATCGACATCCAGCTGAAAAACTCCTTAGAGACATGGGTTTCAAATCCCTGCTACCGGTAAAGACAAAGCGGAGAGAACCTGCAGCTGTGGTTGATCCGCATAGCCGTCGCCGCTCATTGCAAATTTGTTGGAAGGGAAGAGAAAGCCGGCCTTCAGAGGGGCAATGAAGACGCGAAGTTGACTCGGAATTTCAATGTAAGCATGACCTAATGCGCGGCATGCTCAGCAATTCGACGATCGAGTTCACTGTTGCCGAAGATGTGCCTTAGCTCGAAGACCTGCTTTTTCGCAGCATATTTCGAGTCGAGTTATGGGAAGACTTTTTCTTAATTTCCAAAGACACGAGTCATCGCTGGTCCCTACGCTGAACTGCTCAATATCCTTGCGGGCAGCCGGTGGGTGACGTGGTCTACCGATGCAGCGGAAGTACGTAGTGTTACGCCCACTGCAGTTGGTCCCTGTAGGCGCGTCACTATACAGTGCAGAACAGGGTACCGAAGCTTTTGCCTTGCGCCCTCGTTGGTTGCCCTGACCGCTCGTAACACGTAGATAGTCGCGGCAGCTGATGGTTCGCCGCGGGATAATATGAGAATGGTAATCCAAGTTTCCACCGGGCTACTTGAACATTGCTCATGGCCTCTTCGTGCTTGCCACAACCGGCGACTATGACGTAGCATTTCAGTTACTCCCAATTCCTCTTCCCCTTTGTTTCGCGACACGATTCGACACGTTCTGCAAAAAGCTTGGCAAACGATGTGATTGATGTGACCACTGCCTGCACAAGCTGGCGATTTTCGGTCGTATCACATAGTTGCCGGTAGAGATACGAGGTGGCTCATTGTATCTAGACCGCCACACTGAGAGCTGTCAGTCAGGGAGCGCTCGTCCGACCTGATGGACTTCAGATGTTTGCGTGAGTGCCATTTATGAATGAAACCCTAAATGACTGCAGTCCCCCCCCCGAAGCGAGCTCGGCACGACCCGGTCAGTGGCAAAGTGTTCCTCGCTCCGAGGCAGCGGCCAGACTACTCTAGCGGCCGCTGGGAGATGGCCCAACTGGCACGTCACATCAAGTGCTATGTGACCAGAAGGTGTGACAACGGTTTCCTACTCACGACGTGCTTCCAATGGTGGATGGCCCTTGTTGGAATGTCCATGGCGGGGTGCGTTCCCATATGTGCTGTGTGGCTCACCGGAGCAATTTAGCTACTCAGTAGTCCGTAGGAATGTGTTAACAGCCTCCTCTTGCGTCCGTGGACGATGATCCGCGTCATGCGACAGACACCGTGCTTCACTGCTTATACAGTGGACACTAGAGCCACAAACGCTGCGATGAGGACGTACCCGTGGCCGCTAACGAGATGTTGATTTCGTTGGAGTTAAGCTGATGCTAGAACTCCACTGCACATCGGGACCTCGGTTCTAGAATCCCTGATCTACCTCAGTGACTTCAAGAAATCTCTTGCCAAGTAACGAGACTACGCCGCGCCTGCTGCTCGTCTCACTGGTCGCATCCCCATGAAGCATTGCTATGTCGAGCAGAGCGCCACGCCACACAGATTCGCCCGAAATACAGCACTATGCTGCGCCGGAGACGCCAATTTCGCTGCCGTCTGCCCAGCTAACCCCCGCCATCCGTTGGTGGGACCAGCCAGTCAGGCACGGCGCTGTGTGGGTAGCCAGTTCCCAAACAACACGGCGTGCTCCGCGGAACCTTCAACACTGCCTCCTGAACATCAACATACAGGAGGGCTAAGGCTGGCCGCAGAGACAACGCTCCAATGAAATAGGCGTTAGGCTGCGCCATGCCCTTCGAGCACTCACCACCCCTTTCTCTAAGAGTGCATGCACAGAGGCGCAGCATTTGGTATTTTTTCAGGCTGCACGTGATGTGACATGCACGTCAGCCGCCGTGCTGATACACCCCTCGTAAGACGACCCCTTCGCACCTCCGAGACAGCATCGTGAACAACGGCGTACGCATATTCCCTCAAGCTCTCAACAGTTTGACAGGAGCGTAAATAATAAATCGACGAAACGCACATCTACCTTGGCGTGTCCAGCGTCAGAAGAAACGACTATGGCCACACAAACGTCCGATGTGATGAGTGTAGCAAGATCTCTGAGGCCAGACAGGTAACGCGCCGGCATACCTACCTCATGTATTTTCTCATTAACTTTTGCGCAGCGACAGTCTTTGGACCGAAGCTTTCAACATGTTAGATGACGATCTGAAGACGCAAATCAACCACACTCACGACACTAAGCAAGACGTTCTTGACAAGCTGTTGCCAACTACCGAAAAGGCCAGGCAAGGCTTGACAGATAAATCATGGTCTTACAGACGCAAGAATGGCGAAAAGGTCATCGTGCGGGACGTTCTCGTCAAGATTACCAAATGGGTAAACCACTTCAAGGGCGTCGTTGATGTGGCCGTGTCATACGATCCGTTTCACGCGGCGCTGCCCTGGGCTGGTGTCCGATTCCTGTTGGACGTAAGTGATGTGACGCATTTGTGATAAGCTGGCTAATGCTCAAAGGCTGCCATGGGGGATTTGACCACGTACAATGAGCTTCTTGACAATACAGCTAGTGTCGCTGAGGTCATTTGTCGCAACACGCTGGTCGAGCGCGTCATTCGGAACGTTCAGTCAGAAACCGCAGACGAGCTCCGCCGGGCGTTGATCAAATTGTACGCGAGTATTATGGAATACCTGGCCAAGGCACTGGCATATTACCGAAAAAAACACTCTCAGTAAGTTAAGTCGTTGTCACTGAGCACCCGGTCGCTCACCCGGCCAGAACGAGTGCTACAAAACGGGTTGCTGTCCTCCTCCGACCTAAACGCAGCGTCCAATGCCATCAAGCAAGCACAGGACGACGTGACCCGGTCGTCCAATGCCTTTGGCCTATCATGTCAGTTGCCCATTCGAATAGCGTGAGATGAAGCTGATGCATTCGAGCTCAACTCCAAATGCAAGCCGACCTGCAAGAAATGCTAGAGCGTTTCAACGCTCCAGTCCGCCGGTGGGACGAAACACTTCATCAGATGACCGACCAGATCGACCGTAAGCCCTCCTTCCCAAGCGCCCCAACTCTGCTAACGTGCACAGGAGCCAGGAGAACGGCGACCTTGAGCTGGATCTCTGACGAACCCTATGAGATGCATCATAAGCTCACGTACAGTGAGGTACTCGAGGGCACAGGACAATGGATCCTCTGCGACCCGACGTTTTTGCACTGGGCGAACGAGAGTGCTTCGTCCATTTTGTGGCTCCACGGCATCCCAGGCTCTGGCAAGAGCAAATTGACGTGAGTACTGAATGTCGCTGCAATCTCAAGTCTGACCTGGTCGTAGGTCCGTTGTTGTCAGCCAGGCTCTCCAGGCCTTCAGAGAGAAGCTGGCCCCGGCCCCTGTGTACTTCTACTGCTCCCGTAATCCAGCGGAGCCCGGCCGCTCTGATCCTACCCGCATATTGGCCAGCATTGCCCGACAACTTTCGACTCCATCCTCCCCATCGTCGGTTCTCGAACCTGCGGTCGCGGTGTTCACGCAGTGGGAGGAAACGGCATTTGCCTCCGGACCACTTCACGTTGATGAAACCAAAGGCTTGATACTTCAGCTGCTTGAAAGATACAAAGAAGCCACAGTGACCGTTGCGATTGACGCTCTCGACGAGTGCAACCCTGCCACTCGAGATATTTTGCTAGATACGCTCGAGGATCTTCTGAACGCATCTCCATGCTTGCTGAAGGTCTTCGTCTCGAGCCGCGACGACCAGGATATCGTTTACAACCTGCGTAAATACTCCAATCTTACCCTGTCATCTGATTGCAACACCACAGATATTGAGCTGTTTGTGAAATCGGAGACGACACGCCTCGTCAAGAAAAGTTCTTTGCTGTGTTACAGTGAGAGAAAAGAAGAACTGGGCGACATGATTGTCCATGAGCTGACCTTCGGCGCACATGGCATGTAAGTGCTTGCCGAGACTATTATGGGTTTCCGCGGCTTACAAGACTAGGTTCCGCTGGGCTGCCCTGCAACTACAAGCACTCCAGAAATGTTGCACTGATATGGCAGTTCAAGAGAGACTCGGACGTTTGCCAAGAACGCTTAGGGACCTTTACCAAGAGATCTTCACAGACATTGAAAAGTACGAAGCCGAGTCGGATCGGCGAATTACCCAGAATGCCCTGAGCAGGCTACTTCGCGGGAGGGAACAACTGAAATCAGTAGCTTTCCTTGAAGCAGTAACCACTACCGAGAATGGGCCGACGCGATCCATATCAAGGGATCACTTGCTGCAATTATGTAGGAACCTTGTCATTTTCGATTCAACCATCGATGCATTTCGGTTCTCCCACCTGTCAGTTCGAGAGTTTATAGAGGAGCTCGCAGCTTATACGACACCATGTGCAAGCGCGCTCGTTGCAGAAGCATGTCTCGCCCATCTTTGTTGCATGAGCCAGGAGCATTCGCAGCGAACACCATTTGATGAGTATTCCATTTGGTTCTGGCCAGACCATGCCCAAGCAGCTGCCGCCCAAAGAGGGATCAAATTGAAAACCGGAATTCGTCGATTTTTTTGGGACAACCACTCAAGTGGATCCCTGTCTTGGCACGAAGCAATGGAAGGCCTCATTGAGCGTCGTCCGGCTTGGCTAAAGGATCATCGAAGGAGAATTGGTTGCCTATCAACTTACCCAACACCGGCTTTCGTTCTCGCGGCTTATGATCTGACCGGTGCTGTAACGACAGGCCAATGGGAAGACCTTAAACACAAAGGACCCAAAAACAAGAACGACCAGGATTGTGAAGAAGTTATGGCTAGATACGGAGAAGGTGGCATGATTCAATGGACATTTGACAGCCAAGTATGCTTTGCAATATCGGAAGTAGTTCTCAGGGCTGCAGCTGCCAACGAGAAAATGGTAATAAGATCATGGCACTGCTTCTCGACAAGCGCGACGACGACATCCAGATCACCGAGGAAGTCGTCAAAGCTGCAGCTGGGAATTTCAACATTTTAAAGTTGATGCTTGATACTCGAAGCAGAGAGACTACCGCAGTGATCACGCGAGATACATGTTTGGCAGCTGCGGCCTGTGGAAATTTGAAATCTCTTCGGGCGCTTTCAGACCATCTCCCGCTAGACCTAGTTGATCCTATGTGGGAGTTAATAGGCGTCTTCTACCGTTCTGCAGAAGATGGCGACGTGAATCGGATCGAGCACCTTCTGAGCATCAATACTCCCCCAGACACCAAAGACACCTTTGGTCGAACGCCGCTATGGGTTGCTGCAGATTACGGCCAAGAAGAAGTGGTTCGACTGCTGGTATCACGACCAGAAGTCGACGTGAACTCGCTGTCAGTTTCTGGGCAATCGCCACTTTTCTGGCCTTCCGCGGAGGGTTACGAAAATGTGGTCAGTCTACTTATATCTGCAGGGGCGAAGCCAGATTTTGTCGACTGCGACGGGGAAACTGCCATCTCGATGGCAAGAAGAAATGGGCATGAACGAGTCGTCAGTCTTCTTCTCAACTCGCAGGATATTCCTACATTAGCGACGTGCCTTGCCACCGCTGGGAAGCTCCGATTCGCAGTCCGTAACGCGTAGGATCTTGACGCGCAACCGCGCGCTTCACGCGTGAAATTCTATCACATGTCGAGGCATCCCAGAAAGCACCGGTGGCCTGCCGGGCCGTCCATGCCGCCGTACGGTGTACCTGTGAGGCCGTCACTAGCGTCGACACGAACCCCCGTTGCTAGTCCATCTGATTTTGGTTGACGCGCCGCCCAGCTCACGTCGCCTGTATTGTCGCTGTTCAGACGCCGGATGTGCCAAGGGGCATTTGATACCACGACTGCCACCGCCTGCAGGCCCGCGGCCCAACACGAAGCTACATTAATCAGGGAAGAGGCGCTCGAAGCCAGCCGTGAAGACGATCCCTGAAGATCGATATCTACGTGGTTCTGCATGTTGCCGGCACAGAAGCAGGCACAGTATGTGCAGCATTGTACTGTATTTTTCTGTTGCCGAAGCTGGCTGCGAGGACAAGTTTGCGGCTAGGGTTGTCGTCCGCCGATGGGTTTTGCTAGCGTCCTTGGACCAGTGTCTTCTCCCCGTGCAGCAAATCTACCAGATGAGCTGATGGCAGACGGCAGCTAAGGATCAGCTTCTAGCTTTCCAGGCCAGAGCAGGGGCTTGTCAGCTGGCCGTGGGAACGGTGTATGGGCGAGGTATGGCTGTCTGAGGATGCTAGCCCAGCACGTTCCGTCGCGCTATTTGCCTCGCAGTCTGATTACAGCTGCGTAGGGGTAGGACAAAGCCGCACATTCGGCTCGGTCCAAGCTGCGAAACGAAAGTGATTGCTCTACGCGAAGCCGGAACGTGCTTTGGTCTTGGAAATGCCCCGCGCGGCGGCGGCTTACGCTGCACCCAAAGGTACTGTATCCTCTCCATGATGGTAAACAGCACAGAGGCGTTGCCAAACTCGGACACGGCCGCGTCGCTGCAGGCATCTTCGCTTTTGGATCTGCATATCTGAAATCAAAATCAGCTTGTCTGCGCGAACCACTCTTCAGGTCCTGAAGAGGCAACGTTGAGCAGCAGCTCTTGGCGAAGTGCTGCTCGTGGGGGTCACATGGAGCAAGGATGTGCTCAGAACCTGGCAAGAGGGGCATGCCTACACACGCGTAGCTACTAAGCTGGATGAGGCACGCCTACTCTGCCAGTGGCCGCCATTTTCTCGGCTCCGCAGAACCATCTTTGCCCGGAAAAGAAATCCGTCCCGCAGCGCGGCGGGCCGGCGCTTTGTACGGCACCTGCCACACCAAACAAGCAGCTGCCCCCAGGGAGTTGTACAGTACATGGCGAACAGCCGCCGCAGGGCTCGTTGCCCGAAACACCTGGGCCAGCGCAATGCTCCTAGAGTTGATGAGGGCACTTTCAGCATCCGCTCAGCCTCCGGCAGCTTGGGACAGCAAGCACACATTGGATGACGCCTAACTTTAAGGAAGAAGTAACACTTTCTGAAGTGATGCAGCATGTACTGTATTTGAACTAGCACCAGCTTCCGAACATAGGTTCGCAGGCTGTCGAGCCAGCGAGATCGCTACGAGCCGCCGAGCCCTACAAGCAGCCGCCTTCGAAGGATGGCTTAGCACCGTGTAGTTCTGTAACTTTCCACCCTACTCAATAGCATTTCCTCCTGTTCCTATTGAACAAATGTTTCCAAGGTTTATGTTCAGCCTCGAGCTTTGCGGCTTGCATACAGATGTCACGCGATTTTCGCATCCAATCAGTAGCCCTCATCCAGCTCGCGTTCTTCTGCACATAGCTGGGCAGCTCATGTGGTGGGACGTCGCCAAAGTCCATCGGTCTGTGGTGCGACCATGGTTCTGGTGGCTTGCTGCGCGCCAGCTGGGCCCGATTCTGTCCTTCTGCTGGCACCCTCTCCGCCGCTTCCTCCGCCTCACGCTGCTCAGCAGCAATTCTTCGCACCTTCATTCGACGGGTTGCTTTGCCGAAGTTGGCTTTCCTTCCGCCGCGAGCTTTGATCTCTTCCATTTTCTGCTCGAACCATTCATCGGAGTGATCGTGGGGCCAGTGGATCCGCGGGTCGAGCCTTAGATAAAATGGCCTGCAGGTTTTCTTCGACGCTCTGGCGGCGCTTACGGAGCTTGGGCTGGCGTTAATCAAGATGCCGTGGGGTGGTGGAAGGGCATCAGGTTGGCTATAGATCATAGCATCGAATCTTCTTTCATGAAATGTACGGCAAAGCTCAATCCGGCGGTCTTCGCAGGTCAGCCCATCAAAGGTGGTGAGTGTGTTCGAACGTGCGCAATCGGGAGTGATGTCTTGTACGTTCAGAGGGTTGTTGTGGAATCCCGGAGCATCTGACCGCGTGCGATGAGTCTGGCCGTTGCATAGAGGAACGTTGACCGCGTCGGCAGGACTATGATCATTGGGCGCTGACGACCACATCACCATATTGAGCTCGCGGGAACCTGTTGTATTGACATTGCCGCCCGACCCACCAACATCAGATACCTGTTCGTGGCATGACTGTGCTCTGCCAGGTTCCTTTGGCCCGCCGTTTGCAACAAGGGGGCGTGAAGTGGTGAGCGCAGAATTCGTGCTCGTTGCGGGCAGTAACCTTAACGGTGCGTTCATCATGAAGCCGCAATTGCGCTTCGCTGTTGCTGCCTTGGATGGCGTATAGTGTCGTGTCGGTCGTTCGCTTTCAGTTCGCCAAAAACTCTGCTCGGAACGTGGAGTCTCGACCTTGTGACAAACGTCTACCTGCGATGCTCGTCACGAGTTTTGAGCAGACGCACGAGCGGACGGCAAATCCTCATCAGTTCTCGGGAACACGTGGGCTTGACGCTAGACGCTGAACAGAGGCGGCGCGTCCGATGTCTTCGCTCTGCTTGCCATCTCACTTGATGAGCACGGTCTCGTCGTGAGAGAACTGAGTTTGATTTGAGGCAGCGACTCTTACCAGTAGTCAACACCTTAGGCCTGCGACTGCTGGAAATATGTCGAAAAATAGCGTTGACCTAAGAAGGAGATACCGCGGTAGTCTGAAGCCCAGATCCTTATGTTAGGAATAGTTGCTCCTTACAGAGCAGGCGACATAAACAACCAGACATGATCAGACTTGGACCGACTACACGCCACGTTTCGATTTTCAACAGCATGTGCTTACGTATTTAAGCAAGCGCAGCAGACCCACGGCAGAGCCCCGCCGACTGTCCCAGACCCAGGTATCGGTCCTCTGCGCCGACCCATTAGCAAACGTCCGTTGGTCGTCGTGAGCCTTGCTGGGTTGGATACTCCCTCCACAGCGACCAAGAACCTAGTATTAGCAAGGACGACAAAGGGGGTAGAATGCTCATCATTGGTAGCATGCACTGCTCCTCCAACATCTTCATGAGCGGTGAGAAGAGCCCTGATACAGTTTTTGTTGTGGCTAAGATCAGCCGTCGGGTAGGTGTAGATAGCAATCTGGTCGCAGGGAAACCCACACGTCATGCCGCGAGGAACGTTTTGTCGCCTAACGGCCAGCACTTGGGTGTGCTTAGCTAGCACCAAACCCGTTCCCTGCTCGACACCAAGTCCGTCGTCGAATAACTCCTGTGGTCTTACAAACAGCGATTGTCGACGTCGCCACTAAGGTTCCAGAGGTCGCGCGAAGCTGGCAGCAGTCTCCGCCGACCTATTGCTTCACCTCTGTGCAGTAAGACAGAAATCAAAATAGATTGCAAGATGCCTGCCTCTCCGGTCGCTTGGATTGGGGCGGCAAGCTGAAAGGACTTGGGCGCCTTGTACGCCACAGTAGAAACAGGCGGTTGATGCTTGGAGGGCCTATATATGCGTCGGTTAAGTACTGGGAACTTTCGGGGAATCGGCGGCTTACCACATTGCACTTCCTGGCGGTTCATACGCTCCACAGAGCCAAGGCCAGGTGAATTTCCATGGCAGGCACAGGCGCCTTGTCCTGGAGCTCGTGGCTGCGCACCAACTGTGGCGGTGCCTGTTCCCTGCAGAGGCCGCTTGCAGATCAAGACCGCGCAGCAATTTGCGTCACGCGGTGCGGCGGCGCAGCGCAGGTCAACTCTCTGCAATCCAGCAACGCCTGCTCGCCGCGGCTGAGTGGACACGGCAAAACCGACGCCTGACCATCGACGCTTGCCTCTCCTATCATGGAGGTTTTTGCATCACAATCCGGCTTTTTCTTTTTTTTTCCTTGGACTTCTCGCGTACGCCGTTGAAAACCTTCATCTTCGCACGTCGAAAGCTCTTCGTTACCGTCCACTTAAACCCAGCGCTCACGCCGCGAATCGATAGCGGCGTCTCCTTGTTTACAAGACATGTAAGCATTGCTCGATACCCGAATTTTGTCACCGCCTTCCGAACATCCGCTGACGAACCCAGTATGCAAAAAGCATGAAAACTCGCGTTGCTGGAAGGTGTGGCGAAGGCCCACGGGGGCGAGTCCCCCTCCCCGCCCCGCGATCTGCCCATCGCATAGCGCCTTGGATAGCACAATTTCTCATAGACCACCGGGTGAGGTCAAATCAAGCGCCCGATTGAACATTCACGACGGTACGCTGGGGGTATATGGAATTGCAGACTCGGTTCTTTGCGACCTCTGTCACCAACAGAGAAGAGGAAAGACCGTGGACGGCACAGCTAGTGGCGGTCCGAGGCCGCTGCCGTAGACTCGAGACACGTGGATGGCATCCGAACGGCCCACCGATGCGGCGCCGAACCCCGGTCGGTCAAGGAGATCGCCCGGAACAGCCACGCACCATTTACGCGCATGCTGTGCAACAACGTTTTACATATGAAGTTGGACATTATGCACAGAGAAAGGCAGGGCACGAGGATTGGGCAGCGAGACGCAGAGATGGGCTCGTTACCGTAAGTGAGATGTTCCTCGGTCCCCCTTCCCGGCTGAGATCACGTAACGTCGATGATTTCGGCGCACCACTGATTTCGAAATCATGCACCAAGTCTGGTCTTTTTCCAACTATTTAACGAGAGTTCGGTTTCCTCAGCCCACTCATAGTTTGACATTTGAAAAGCCTCGGCTCTAAGCACTACGAAGAGCCAGGTACGGAAGGCATCGCATAGAGAGACATCAAAGACCCGGTGATTCAGCCTGTACTGTGCGTGTCATTTCAGAACGAGAACTTCCATACACATGTGATTTGGAGCTGACTGAGAACCCAGTTAGTGAGCTTCAAACGGGATCGACCCAAGTAGTGATGCCTCAAGATCATACGTGCCGGAGCAGAGCGCGCAAGATAAGGCAATGGTAAACACTAATGTTGCCTGATTGTAGAGGCTTAAACTCCGTTGGGTTGAAGCCTCGCTAGATATACTTTTCACTGGCTTTGATGAGGTAGGTACTCCCAACATTTTCTTGGATTGCACCCGCATGAAGGCCTCCCGCAGCACCCTACGGTTTCGCGGAAAACCATTACCTGTGGTTGCTTCCGTTGACGCTTCTCAACACGTGTTCAGCTCATATATACTGAAACGGTCTCTCCACACACATCAACGACTTTGGTCGCCTGTTTTTCTGCCAACCTTAAACCAGCACCGTAAACATCCATTTGGAAAAGTTGAAGAAATACTCTCAAGTCAAGTTCTCTAAGAAGAAAAAAGAAAAGAAAAAAGAGATTCCACGATATCGTCTTTATTGCTAAAGGTACACTCAGTCACTGGTGCGCTGAAACCTCTTCCAGCGAATGTTCTATTGGCTAATGTTCTCGTCAGTCACTCATCCTCAGACCTGTATCATTGTTTGCCACACAGCAAGTTTCGACCAGCCTATACCTCTCAAGATGGCCGCCCGCAAAGCCCAGGATACTTCTCTTTACCTCGCTCGTCACATTTTTCTTCCCTCTCAACTCCCACAGTCTGATGACTCCGCTCATGACAACGATATCGCCCTTTTGCGGTGCGTTTATAACGCTCTGGGCAAATTTAAGAGCCACGTCACAGAATCTCAGCAGGAACCCGTCGCCTTGGTCACGGGCATGGTGCATAAGATGCTCACCGCTCATAAGCCTTTGGGTGGGAGAACAGCCGTTGATGAAGCAAAACTTGCTGAGGTTCTGCGCCACGTGTTGGATGCGCGTAAGGATTCTTCCCTGCTTATGCTGGGAAGGCATTCAGTAATAACTTCATCACAGCTGGCTCAGTCGGTGTTCACATCAGAGAGCAGAACGCGGGCGTCCTGATCAGCCGAGTTGATTCAACACTCAGGGTGGAAGCCTTTGAACTGTCGGCCTGCAATAAAGATGTCACCACGACCGCCGGACGTTTGCGCCGTACTTTCCCCGGGACTGCTGTCTCTATCAGTCTCGAGAATGCTCGGGAGGACGGGTTCATCACCACCCTGGCAGCCACATTGAGTAAAATGACTACACAGCCCTCCGCCGAGACCAAGCCCAAGGCCAAGAAGGCCGGGCAACTCCAGGACGAGAATCGCGATACAACTCATCCAAAAATGGTCACAGAGCTACTGCACGCATTTCTCCTAGCTGTCGGTCAGCCTACAGCGTCCGACAGAATCTGCAAGAACACTCGAGAAGAAGTCTTGTGGCGGCAGGCTTGTCTTCCCTGGCGCAGGTCGCCAATGTGGATGCTCATCCGTGTAGCCCTCCAGTTGTCGTTCATCCGTTTGGCTGGGTCCCCCCAGTACGGCGTCAAAACCTACAAGCTGTTCATGGTTTTCCTCATGGCCGATGTTCTTCAGAAAGCCCTGGATGATGGCCTGGACTCAGATATACTGTACTCAATGACGGCCAAGTGCTCCAGGAGACTTCTCAAGATTGGACTGGAGACTCACAACAGTGCCCTTGACTATGTCCACAATCAGATGCATTACGCAAATAGCTTTCTCCGGGAGCGGTGGGCGGTAATTCGGAACAAGACGTTAATCGATTTGACGAATCATTTTTCTAGCCTCAAGACTATCGACTTTTCGCAGGACATCGTCATCGCTCTTCCCGGTCTCGATGGCTTTCTTGATTCCATCAGAAGTCGTCAGGTCGTGGATGATAGCCGTGTTTTCATTCCGTCATGGAGACTGACCAAGTATGACAGTCAATCGTTACCGAGGTCCATTGATCCGTCTGATTCGGATCATCTGCCACTGACCCTCGTGGCTTTTGAGACTTGGGTAGAAATGCACCTCGAGCATTGGATGTCTTCACAGCTAGCCGAAGACTATCTCAACACCTGCCTCCAGCTACGGCATCTTATCGAGAGTTATCACAACGCAGCAAGCAGCATGTACTGTGGAAACCCGGAGACGACGTCCATCATGTTGCTTACCATACTGGAACTTTGGGTGGCGTGCGACAAAGCAGCAGTAACCGCACATCCTCTGCTGGCTGATTACGACCCTGGAATTCCTCGAGGCTTGTTCCAGAACTTCTTGCTGCCGTCGAGAAGACAGATGAAAAGAATATTCGAAATCGAGCGGTATCTAGTCGATCGCTCCAGCAGGTCCAATTCCCGGTTGTCAGCTTTCCACATTTACAAATCTTTTGGTGCATCCGACAGTTTCTCCCTGCGATACTTTCAACAGTCCACTCGGCATCAAAACCTCTTGCTTCTTATTGAAGCCGACGCAACCGAGAAACGAGAAGCCAAACGCTGCGAACTAAAGCGCGTGCAGGACAGATACAAAGCTCTCATGAAGAAGTACGGCGAAAGCGAATGTACCTATGTCGACAATTTGGACCATTACAGTGGCATCTATTACCAGGAGCATAGCGAATGCTGCACTAGATGCGGATACCAGAAAGAGGCCCAAAGTCTTCGAATCTATGTTCACGAATGGCCGCTTCCAAGGCAGGATCTCCAAAAGAAGTCGGTTGTCTTCGAACTTGAACTCCCGCAAACATTTGGCTACTGGCGAGAAGCTAGTTTTTATGTCCTTCTCGACGTTCTCAAGGTACAACATGCCAACCTCCGACGGCCGCAGTCTCAGCACTCACTGCGCAAATACGATGCACTCCGGCCATACCATCAAGCGAGAGTTGTGTCGCAAAATGTCCAGCTCCTATCGGAAACGAAGCCCAATGTTGTCGTCCACCGAAACCCAGTCGTTGTGACTTCGGCCACTGAAGCAAACGTGCTTCTCAACAATGGGCTACAATTCATGTACCACGACGAGAGGAGATCTTGCTTCATCCAAGACCTCTCGGTGACGGACAAAATTCCACACAGCTGTACATACAGATTGCCACACTGTTCAGCGTTTCTGCAAAAATTTATCTTCCGACCCGCGGCTGAACCGTGCGGCCCTCCGCCGAACTTGGTCATCGCCACCCAGAGTGCCTGTCCAAAAGAGATGACCGTAGAGGAGTACAAAGCTGTGGCGTCTATTCCATTAGGTGTCAATATTCAGTACCAAAACATCCTTGTTCAGCTGTTCTCGCCGATGGTAGATTTCAAGAAGTGGGAAGTCACGTTGACGATTTGGCAGTGCATTTACCAAGCCGGTCCGGGTAGTGGACATGTTGCGAGGGCCGCGCACGATATCTGCGAGGATGAGCAATTTGCCAGCAAGCTTCTCGAAGGCATCACCGACGCAACACAACGCTTCGAACAGAATTGGCAATCATCGGCAGCACTCGCCACCCTGATTTCACTAGCTTGCCGGCTGCTCACACTCACTCGATCTGTCGCAATTGAAACTCAGTGTCTTGACTACTTGCGCAAAGCCAGGAAGATCACCTTTCAGTGGGCTTTGGCTCTAAGGGAGAAAGCTCAAAAGTGCCTTGATGACGACGAGAAGATCTCTCTCCAACGCAGGGCTTTGGAAGCGTTTTTAATTTCCTCCGACAGCTTCAACACGGACGCCAACCGCCAGCAAAGCGCTCTGTCGCAAATGGAAGAAGCCTGCTTGTACCTTCAATGTGCTATCTACATACAAGAGTATTCGGAGTCGCTACTCAGTTCCCTTGATGCCACGATAGGAGGTCTTCACGCTCGTTGGCAACGAACCTTACATCATTGCTATCAGTACCTGGCGACGGCGGACAACGTTGGCGCTGCTCTCGACCATGCAATTCTCGCTTCATGGCCAGCATATCGCTCAAGTGGTGTTTGGACTATACTCTCAGACGACCATGACCACTGGCTCGCGAGCACCACCGTTTCTCCGAACGCTCAATCTGTTCATTTCAGCCTGGTCACTGGCGAGTTCCTTGTCGACGGGGTGCCTTTGGACCATCTTCCGGCGGAGTACCTAAAGCATCCGGCGTATCATACACTTTTTGGCCGACTGTCCCTTGATATCATGCCTAGTTCCATTCCCGGAATGCAGTACTCCTGTACAGCATTCTACGCTGGGCACAAGGTTCACGTGTCTCTTGGGGGCTCACGGACGTCTGCTGCATCGACGCTGGATCTTCTGGTGCACTCGAGTCAAAATCAAACGAAATATGATCTAGTTCCATCTCGTCACCTTCGATGGAGTTTCCCACGTTCGTTCTTAGAGAAACACGTTCACTGGTACAATCATAATGAGGATTGTGTCGAGTTCTGCGACAGCCGCACTCCATGGCGCCATGCGACGTCGAACTGGAAGCTGAGGCGCACTCAAAACGGCCGTGACTGGTCCCTTCACCGAGGCGAGGACGTCCTAATTGGCATTAACAAAGAATCGTCTCTGCTTTTAGCCAGTATACTCGAGCCACTTGAGGACAGGGACTGGATTCATGTCATACAACGCAACTCGAATGCAATCTTCATTGATCTTCCCCGTACCGGTCTGGAGTTCACGCTGGTACCAGGGACATCAGCCATGGTATCGAAGCAATACCGTGGAATGGTGATCGACTCTCTACAGTCAATCGGTTCTTTGATAGGGATGCGTGATAAGCTGGTCTTGCGCGCCAGCCAGTCTCTCGACACCTGCCTTACCCCGCGCCGCCGGGTGTTGGTCATGGACGGAAACGTATCTCACGTTGCTACGGCAGAACATGTTCAAGTCCGCATCGCAAAGGACTCCCACCGCAAGGTACACACGTATGACGTTGACGAGCAGCTTGGCCGATTAGTGAGCAACGGAAGCCTGCAGAGCAAGCTTTTTCTCGCCTATCTCCATGCTCTGACTTCATTCTGTCTGCCGGATCCGCTCACGAGAAGGACTGGGACTGAGGAAGCTTTAAACATCCTCGGCTCGGCTTCCACGAGATCGTTTGATTGTCTAAGCCACGAGAACGTGCAGCTTCTCTCTTTTATTGCCAAGTTGACGCCCGGGAGGTCCTACTATCCCGCCCATGAGCGGGTCATGCAGACCGTACACTGGGATCAGGGGCTGAGTTTCCTGTCACAGCACGGCCTCTTCCTTGGCCGTGTGCGCTCAATTTTCGATCACGCATCCAGATCAGAGTTCTTATACCCGGAACGATATGTCAAACCTCCAGCCTTGGACCACGCCGACGCACATCTTCTTGATAGGGACAATATTCGATCGTCCACATTTCGGATCTCTGACTTTGGGGCGGAACTGCATTGCATAACGAAAGACAAAGACTACGAACCCCGAGATCGATCTGTCACTTCCTCGAGCTCAAAATCTCACTCTGTAGCGCGCATGGTCTTCTTCAACCAACCTGCGCTATTTCAGTCTCTTCCGCCGAGCTTTGGAAGCCATCTCTGGGACTATTTGAAACAGACCTCGGAGGTTTCCTACCGGAGTGGCACATCTGTCATCGCCGAGATTGCCTACGATTCTGGTCTGCTGCTGGAATCAACAGGATTCATCGCCAAGAACTGGATCGATCTTCACCGAGATGTCATACCAGGAGTTTGCAAGTTTAAATTGATGATCTGGCTGGCGACACTAGCCTTCGCAACAAGCGCGAACATAGGAGTTATTCAGACTCTCGCGTCCTTCCGTACCTCTCCGCAGGCAATGCAGGTGTCGTCCCCCGCTGGCAATAATTTCCAACTCTCCAAAGGCGCCAAAGTCGACTCCGCAATGTTGCAGAAGGTCATCCTGTCGGGCGCTGTTCCATACAACAGTAGCCCAGAGGCCAACCTGGCCAGGAATTCATACGAATCCTCAAGCGCCTATGACCAACGGCGATCGAGTCAATTCAAGTCCAAGCGTCAAATGGCAGTGAACACTCTGGTATCTTGCCTGCGGTCCCAATGGCCATGCAAAGTGCCCGAAATTCCGTTGGCCCATCAGAATCAGAACCTGTGGCGAACTTACATAAGGGTCAACCATGTTCTTCCGGCTATCAAGACGCATTTCAGGATGTGGCACGATAACTTGCTGTTCGAGAGATATGTCAATACCATTGCCTCCAACATGCCCTCCGCAGTTCGTTCGTCACAGTTCCCCTGTCCTTTGTTGACAACCCCAATCTGGAGTCTTTCGGTTGCGCGTCGCTTTATTAGCGGTAATGATATTTTTCGGCGCGCCAAGCCACCTCCTCCAGCTCGCGGCCTCCACATTCTGTGTCAAGAGACCTTGCCGGAATTGCGGAAATATGATTATCGAATGCCAGAGTTGCTAAGTGTGTTACGGGCGAGAGCCCAGGGCACCTATGAACAGCTTTACGTTGACGAGCTCGATGCAAGCTTCCGAGCACTGCAACGAAAGGGCATTACCAGCAGCAATGCTCCTGGTTCAGCACCTCTGAAGAAGGAGGTTCTAGTGGCTTATCTTCAACAGTGGAAGGAGGAAGTTGATCGTCAATACAACGCGATTGTCACAGCACTTCTGGGTCTCGAGGGTGAACAACCGTCGACGGCGATCGAGGGTTTCGATCTTTACTGCAGACCTCGTACTTCACCGGTGGTGATCCTACAGAGACTCAACAAAGACCACGTCAAAAATACCCCGACCAAGTGGAGAGAGCGCATTGTGGACTATGGCGTAGCTATGACACAACTTCAACGAGCAGAGAGAATGGTTGCTTCCATGGATGATCCTCCCGCCCTTGGGAACGAACTGCGTAACCCAGGACACGCCAATTGGAAACCCCTGGATTATCCTGATACGCTCCTTCTCGAGATTGACAGTGACCTAATGGTACGCGAGGTCCAAGAAAGTGTTGCCAAGAGCATGCGAGATCCTCCCTCAGGCAAAAACACGACCATGCAGCTGCTCATGGGCGAAGGGAAGTCCTCGGTCATTCTTCCCATCGTCGCAGCGGCCCTCGCAAATGGCTCGAGGATCGTGCGGGCGATTGTTGCCAAGCCGCAATCCAAGCAGATGCAGCAGATGCTCGAGTCTCAGCTCGGAGGACTGGTCAATCGTCCAATATTCCATCTCCCTTTTTCTCGCTCCATAAAGGTCGGGCTTGCAGAGGTTGAAGCGCTAGCGACGATCTGCATCGACTGTATGAAATCAGGAGGCATCTTGCTTGTTCAGCTTGAGCATATCCTGTCGTTCCAGCTGAGGGGCATTGAGACTGCCATCAGTGGCAAGATGGATATCAGCCGTCCTCTTCTCCAGCTGAAAGACTTCATGGACCGCGCAGCACGCGACATTGTCGATGAAAGTGACGAGAACTTCAGTGTAAAGTTCGAGCTTGTCTACACTATGGGCACTCAGCAATCGATCGAACACAGTCCAGATCGATGGATCTGTATACATCACGTGTTGGGCATCGTTCGTGGGGCTATTGCGGAGGTGGAGAAGAGCTATCCTGACTCAGTCGATTTATCTCCAGGACGGCCGGGATGCTTCCGCAGACTGCGAATCCTGAGAGATGACGCAAAGGATAAGTTGGCCGACCTCGTTTCCCGGCAGCTAAGCCAGGAGGGCTCTCCTGGGCTTCCTATGGCAACGCAACCGAGAAAGGTCCAGAGCGCCGTCTGGAAATATATTACCAAATCCAGCCTGTCGCAAGCGGAGATCGAAGCGGTCGAGAAGTCCAGCCTCTGGTCTCCCTTGACCAAGAATACACTTCTCCTGTTCCGCGGCCTACTAGCTACACAGATTCTGGCGTTCGTGTTCTGCCAGAAGCGATGGAAAGTTGACTATGGTCTGGACCCCACCAGGAACCCAATAACTCAACTGGCTGTGCCCTACCGCGCCAAAGATAGTCCCAGCGCTCGGTCCGAATTCAGCCATCCAGAGATCATCATCATGCTCACGTCGTTGAGCTACTACTATGGCGGGATGACGGACGAAGATCTTCTAACTACGTTCAGTCACCTCCTAAGGTCCGACCAAGCCGACATGGAGTATCAGGTCTGGGTAGCGGACAGTGATCATCTTCCCCATGCTTTCAGCCAACTGTCGGGAATTAACCTGGATGATCGTGAACAATGTACCGAGCAAGTGTTCCCGTGCTTTCGATACGCGAAAGGTGCCATTGACTATTTCCTGGCTCACGTTGTTTTCCCAAAGGAACTGAAGGAATTTCCGCACAAACTCTCAGCATCAGGTTGGGACATCGGCGAGAAGTCTCAGCCGACGACAGGGTTCAGCGGAACCAACGATGCAAGGGCTTTTCTCCCGCTTACCATCTCGCAACTGGATGACAAAGAACAACAACATACCAACGCCCAAGTTCTCGAATACCTTCTGCAAGATGACACCCTGGTGACACTGATGCCAAAGCAGAAGACGGCTGGTCGGACCGATGCAGAGGTTCTCCTAGAGATGGTGACGCATCTGCAACCACCTACAAGGGTCATATTGGACGTAGGTGCTCAGATCCTCGAGCTCGACAATTTGGGGGTCGCCAAGAGGTGGCTTGAGATAACGGAGGTTTCAGAGCACACACAAGCGGCAATCTTTTGCGACGACAACGATAGGCTCTGTGTGGTGGACAGACGCGGAAGGGTGGAGAGTTTCCAGACATCACCATTCGCTGGCCAGGTTGACGTCTGTCTCGTGTTCCTCGACGAAGCCCACACTAGGGGAACGGACCTGAAGCTACCAGCAGATTATCGAGCCGCGGTGACTCTCGGTGCGAGTCTGACAAAGGATAGATTGGTTCAGGGTGAGTCGTCCGGAACTAATGCTTCATGGCACTGCTGACGATTCCACGTAGCGTGCATGAGAATGCGTAAGCTGGGTAAGGGGCAGTCTGTCACCTTTTGCATTCCAGATGAGATCCAGCAGAAGATCATCTCTCGCCAAGGGAATTGTGGACGTACAATTACAGTGTCGGACATTCTCGAATGGGCGATCTCCGAAACCTACGCTGAAGTTCGTCGTGGTATCTGGCTCTGGGCGAACCAGGGACGAAGACATCGTGACCACCAGATCTTATGGGAAGAAGCTCGGATTCGAGGCTCAACCGACCTGGACACCAATCTTGCAAAGAGGTTTCTTGAGGAGGAGGCTCAGACATTGGAGCAAAGATACAGGCCCAAGCCGCCCACGAAGCCCAGAACCGGAGAATCTCCCAGCCTGTCGTCCATCGAAGGCCCCGATGCCATTGTCGAGCGACTCCTTGAGTTTGACGGTCTCGAAGAGGATTCGGCCACTTTCCGGGAAGAGCAGGAGCGCGAGCTTTCACCTGAGATCGAGCAGGAAAGTGAGATTCAAAGGCCACCACCAGAGGAGCCCGCAGAGCACTTTCTTCATCCAGATATGCGGCGATTTGTTACTCACGGCGTTCTCCCGAAAGACTCAAAATCCTTCACCTCGGCCTTCCAGGCGCTGTCAAATACCACCGCTGCGCGACATTTTGACGCTGGGAGATTGTCTACGAGTCTTCTGGCGTCATCGGATTTTGTCCACACCGTCAAATCTTCACGCGGTGGCTACAAGTCAGACCTATTCCAGAGATCTGTCCAATGGATCCTGACCCGATATTCCTTGAATGGCGTCATCGACACCGCGATCATCATCAGCCCATTCGAAGCTCAAGAACTTTTCCCCGACATCAAGAGATCGAGCTTCATCTCTTTGCACCTATACTCTCCGCGACCCAACACGGGATATAGGCCACTGGATGATCTCAGTCTGTACACAATTCCGCATCGTGGTAACTTCTCTCCGACACCGGCGCTGTCCCTGCGCACAGAATTGAACCTGTTCTCTGGTCAGCTCTACTTGAAATCCATGGAGGAATACCGCAGCATTCAAAAATTCCTCCGGCTATCTCCTGGACCCACTTCGAGTGATCGAACCATTTCTCATGCTCCTGATTTGAGCACCGAAGCATTGATGCAGTTCATAAAGGTTCTCATGACGCAGATAAGACGAAACTGCGAATCAATCGACAAGACACACATGGGACGGATCCTGGACCATCGAGTCCTCGGACCTTCAGATTTTAGCTGAACCACATCTGGTTTTTACTTCTTTAATCAGCGATCCTGGGGCGAAAGCTGTTTTCGGTCTTCTTCATGTTCGTTGCAGCCTCACGTTCAAACCGTGCCCATTCACATCGGCAAAAGGCACGATACGGTCAGTCGAATAAACTTGACCGAGATACCTCAGCACCCTCAGCGTCTGAGGCACCTTCTCGAAACGATCGTGAAGCAGAACGATATGCTTGTTGGATCTCGTATGGGGTGTTTTGTAGGACTGCTCTCTGGGTCTGCGTGGCCGACGGAGTCGGCCTGAGTTGAGATTTCGCGAGCAGGTGGAAGGGCACCAGTGTGACTACAGTTTACAGTGGTAGATATGGGTCGTTCAACGGTTAAACTTATAAAGCTTGAAGCAAGCAGAGTGCGATGCTGATGGGCTCACTGCTGAGACAGGATGTTGAGGTGATAGCATGAAGAGCTGACGTACTTGACGACGAGCTTCTTGATTCGCGGCAAGAGGCCCTTCGCCGGGTCGCCCAGGCCATCAGTTATAGGCCTAGCTCTGTCCATACGCTGCCTTGAGCAGACGGTACTGTAAATTTCTGCGCGTTGAGTTCGCCAATACTGTGTAGCCGTTCACAAAGTGCGGCACGTTTGGACGGCGAAGGCCCATGCAGGGATCAAGATGCCTGCATGGTGGCGTGCTCCACCAACAAAGGCTTGCACCTTAAAGCAGAATTCTGGGCTTCTCTAGAGATGGAGTAGTAATCGCATTGGGATCTGATGTCATACCGTTTTGCACAGAAATCGTAGCGCCGCGATATGGCCAGGGCGTGTAAGTTACGCGGGGCATCTCCACGACTCAGAACCTCTCGAAACCGCTGTACCTTGTGGAGTTATTGGGGCGGCGGCAGGAGCCGCCCCGCTGGAAGGCAGCGAATCGTCCTACCTATCGTTTGTGGCCCTGCTGCGACGGTGTGGGCGAACGTTTCCCGCCTCCACCCACATCAAATGGTTGGAAATGCCCCCAATTCGACTTCGTGGATGACCGCGCTGGTGATCGTTGGGCTCTGGGAGGACGCTGTCTCGGTATCAGCGGCCCCTTCTGGTCGTTTCTGGGCTTTTAGGCATGTGGTCTACTTTTTGTTCGCTTTTTTTTTTTTTTAAAAAAAAAAAAAACTAATTATGTAAGTCAGTTTGAGTGTGCAATGGCGACGTCCGAAATGCGCAAGTCGACGACAAGAGCGAGCTGCCGACAAGGAGGATGCGTCATTTCTAGCATTGTACCATGGCCTTCCGCCGACGTTCCGTGGTATGGTCAACAGATCGAGGAGCCACGGTGCGGTAGCCGGAAGGTCGTGCGTGCCGCTTCGTCCCTCGCCCTCGCGCGGAGGTCTCGAGGGCCACCCAAGCTGCCCCCGGCGACATTGCGGGGTCGGACGGCTGGTTCGCGCTAGCGCGGGCAGTCCGTGCCGATGTTCAGCGAGTTGAAGGGTGCCCCACGCGCCCGCGATGGCCGTCCACCCACCACCTTAAGTGGTGTACCACGTACCCAGCTGTTCGGCGCGTCGCTCAGGGCACGGCGCATGCAGGTAACTCTTTCGACCCACGCTCCTCTGTGCCCCACGCTACGTGGTCAGCACATGGAATGAAATTGCCGTGAAGTATCTCCAATCTTTCGGCCGGTCTGTGGTTTCCTGCAGGTGCCCAAGGTGGCCCAACAGCGCTACGCAGCTAGCACCCTAGCTGCCTTCCGCGTCTCGCACGGGCCTATCTGCATGCACTCTCCGTCGCAGCCAATTCGACAGCTGTCACTGTCGCACAACTCATCCGACGAAGTCTGCCTGTGGAATCGCTTATACGTCCAGGAAGTTGGTCCTTGCTTATAGATATAGGGATCGCCCAACATGCGTCACGTACTTTGCCTTTCGATCTACGTCAACGAAGACCAAAACGATGGCTCACTAGCTGCCTTGAACAATAATTTCAACCAGGTTCCGGAGTTGCTCGCGGACCATGGAGAGCCCCAAAGGTAGACCCCCCCACGCTGCGCAGCCTGTTTTGCCATTATTCATAATTATGCGGCAGGGGCGGCCTTGCGGAGCTCGTGGAACTGGGAGGGGGCCGGCAAGGACTTTCCCGCCGCGTGAAAGGAATTCGTCGGGCAGAACAAGGTCTCTCGCGAGGCCATCTGCAGATTGTCGATACTCGTCGGAGCACCACCTCTACCAGAACCAGAGACGTGGAGTGTCGAAGAAGGTCAGCTTCTGATCGCATCCACAGATGGCGTTGCCATCACTGAAGCGGCATTTGCATTCTTCGACTTCGGGCCTAAAGCGCAGGTCTCAACAGATCGAGACCAAAGGCTCTCGGCGGAGGATATCTTACGACAGCGGCTTACCCGGTCCGCTTGAGTTTGGGGAAGGTTTTAGCCAACGAGACCTGTGAGCATCCTACCTCCACCACGCAACGCACCTCGAGAGCAATTGTCGTCACCGGGCAATCAACCAAGGATATCTACTGACCCGACTAGGTTCACCATTGTCTTTGTATGACTTTTACATATACCTCAAGTACATCGAACTGTCCCCTGAAAACCTGGAGTTCTACGTCTGGTATGTTCGTCCTGATGTTCATCTGATCTACGCGCCAGATTTTAACATTCTACCAGGTTTCGCAACTATGAATCCGCCTACGCCAAGATAGGAAGCCTCAACAACTTCCCTGTAGCCGAGAAGGAAAGCGATGCATCATCATCCCGGGACAGTGCCATCGACAGCGCGATGGATTCCATCGAGCACAAGCTCCCATCACTAACGATGCCAGGGTTAAAATGCGATCCTGAAGCAGGTCAGTGATGCCAACAAGCCGTCTGATTTGCACCCCAACTAACGCCTCTCAGCCAATGAGATTATGACTAATATCGTCCAGCTCATCGCTCACGAAGGCGCCTGCAGGCCAAACAGCAAGGTTGGGCTCAATGGTCGCGGCTGCATCAAGTCGTGGGCCAACGCTTACACCAAGCCGATCTGCTTGAACAACGTCGCCAATGTCGTCCCTGTCCACATCGCGCCCAACTCCGCCTACCAAGTCGAGCACAACGCCGTCATCAAGACCTTCCTCCTGACTGGCTCCGAGAAGGAACTTAATATTCCGCCCGCACTCCGTGACCAGGCTGTTCTCGACCTCCAACATTTTTCCGACCCTGCGCATCTCCGCCCCATCGCTCAGCATGTTTACGGTCTCCTTAAGAACTGCTCGCACCGTAACTTCGTCAGACTCAGTGTCTCCAATGGTACCTTTGAGACTTTGTGCATGGCGACAAGCATGGGTATTGTTCTGACCGTCGCTGGTTTCCTCTGGGTTTTTCTCCGAGCGCTCGTCCATTCATGGGATCACACAGCCGCTACAATGTCTTTGCCCCATGGCCCATGTGGTTCGTTGGGACGTCTCTCGTTCTGTCCGGTCTCAGGGGCAGCTGCTTCTTTCTCCTGCTCTTTACTCGCCGACAATCTCTACCGTGGGAACGATACAACGATAGTACATCTCTTCTCTCTCGGAAGTCTGGCTTGATGAAGTTTGTCTCCCGGATGATGATTTTCGATCGCAAGATTCGTGTCAAGGACGTCCACCTGAGGAGGTTGCAACACAAGATCGTCACCCAAGCCATGGTAGGTGGTGCCATCTTCGCCAGTCTGTGCAGCTTACTGTTTGTAATGCTGCCTCTGTGGTCACAGAAGTCGCTGGCGTAGGCATGAAGGAGAGAGTGAATATGATTTTGTGAAAATTGGAGACGATATGGTGCTGAAGACTCTGAGTACCATCCTCGAGATGGCCTATTACTGACTCCACAATCAATCACGGCATTGGCAAGTGGTATTGAAGATGGCATGTAAAGATTGATGACACTTGTACAGGCTTCTGGGAGGCAAGGATGTGAACCGAGGTGGAGATCATGTAGATAATCATGCGAGTCCTGAAGAGCTTCGCTGGGGCGTAATGGATTATGCATTTATGATGAAGCATGCAGGCCATGGTCGCTCTCGGCGTCGGCGTGGAGTATGCGGGCTGTGGAATTTTACCCGCGCCCTGCTAATCACTCTTCGAGCTTTGCCCCGGCGTGTGGTCCGTGTGAACCCACGAGTGGCTTCTAAGCCAGATGCGATGCAAATTCCAGACTCTAAAGCAAGAAATACATTTCGTCGCCAGCAGCCAGAGACCGCTTCACGGAGACGACCCAGTCGCCCGCGTTTTGGTGCTGAACAAAGCGGTAGTCTTGTCTTGTGGCTGGGATGATACAAAAGGCTGGCGGCGATCTAGGAAGCAGGACGCAGTTCTCATTGCGCTGCGAGACTGTTCAACTGGGATCTTCGCGGCGTAGGCGGCTACGACATGAATGAGATACTGCACCCATTAACCTTCGAAGCGTGGTCAATGCGAAGGCGTCTCCCAAACAAACTCAACCTGAGCAACCCTCACGGCACTGAGGGTGACGCCAAACACCACCTTACGTCAGCCTCGGGAGCTACGGACAGAAAGATCCGAGTCTGTGGGAATATCAACTCCTTTCAAGATCTTACCCCCGTCAATGAACCCATCCGGCCGCGACCAGATTGAAAGCAGCCCGCTCGCTGTCGACGCAAAGTCGATGTGGAGAGAAAGCCTATCAATCTGAATATGCAATGGCGCTTGTCCCACTCGCGTGTAGCAATTCCATGGCAGGTCCAGCTCAGTGATCACAATGGAAGATGGCATTTGAACAGGCCACGGGTGACGCCTCGGTAGCCAGGGATTGACGGCATTGCTGTGCCGCGTCTGGTGTACTTCCTCCTCAGCCTCCTGGCATCGATCCGCCAGGCTCGAGTTAGCTCCGCTCGACAGAAGCAGACATGCCCGGCTCTCAAGCGGATAGCGGCAGATGGTTCGCCCTCCATGTTTGAGCCTTTTGATCGCGTTCCGCATGTCCTTCATCATGCTTTGGACCAAACACCGAAACCTGTCCATCTGCGTCGCGATCATCCATACAGCATCGGGCAGGGTCCATTTCTCGTAGAGCCGACCATGGGTACGAGACACCACATAATGGCCATGCCTGCGAATGAACAGATCACACAGATAGCAGGCGGACTTGCTGCATCCGATAATTCGCGGCGCCGGCACATGTGGCTACTGTTCCAAGTCGAAGATCTGCTGGATCTCCGCGTGCACGAAGCAGCAGTGGGCAGTTCCTGGACGATGAACGCCTGAGGGCGAATCCAAAGCCCTCACGTCGATGTTTCTGAACACCCGCCTGTAGTCGGGCTTGCTTGCCACTCGGGCTAGGTCTCTGCATGCGAAGAAGTATCTAGCCAGCTTGTCGACCTGGCGTATCTCGGGGCTCTCGGAGAGCTGCAGTATAACGCCAGCAGACTTCAAATGCTCCTCGACCGAGTTTGTGTTGCCTAAGCGGGCGACTTGCGAGCAGCTAACAACAACCTTCTCGAGGGCGTACCGCAAGGCGTCGGCTTTGATGGGATGCTCGACAAGGTTGAGGGTGTTTACCAAAACCTTGAGCCTAGCAAGGAGTGGTGCGATTTTCTCAGGGGACTGTGGTGGTTCCCCAATCTTAAGAATGCATTTCTGCAATCTGTCTTGCAACGAAGGCTGTGGTGTTTTTAATTGGCGAGGCTATTCAACCCGTGGTGGGCGCAACCGGCCAAGAACGCGGGTGCTACTAAGGCGTAGCACGATGTCGAGTAGCTCTTCAACCGTCTGCTTTGGACCGCCTACGAGCGCATCAGGACCCGACCGTGGGAGGTTTAAGGTAACGAGCCTTCTCGACCTGCCGATTGCCGTCCCAAATGATCGAGACACTTTTTCCGTGGACCAGAATGCGGCACGCGTTCCTGAGTTCCCTTTCGCGCCGCTTTTCCGCGCCACGGCATCAATGAACCCATCGTTCCGCTTTGATGATGTTGACATCTTGGTGAATCGGAACAGCCTCAGAAAGCTCCTCGATTTCTCTGCGGGACGGCGCCAAGACAGCTTTCGCATCAACCTACACCTGGTTCACCGAACTCTGGTCATCGAGCGTTGCGAGAGGACCGCCCGCGAGCTGGTCAGGGGTTCCAAGAGCTCCGGGTGGGGCAGGAATTTCGAGCGCAAGTTCACGAAATACCCATCTGGGCTAGGAGACAGCACGTCACATCACCGGGCCCTTCGATACCAGCTAGGTGATCTCACATGCGTGGTGCGTTTTGAGGTCGACGCATGCTACGAGGAAACGGGCGAGGGGAGCGGCTCGGAGTCGCTAGAAGGCGCAATGGGGCGGCTGGCAGTAGAGGACAGTCCTGAGGGGATCGCTGCTCCCCCCAAACCTTCAACGCAACCGCCGATGGCTCAGTCGATGGCGGCAGAAATCAAGACAGCAACCAAGCCCAAGGACCCGACTGCATACATGCCACAGCTCTGGTTCGGTAGAACGCCCTGGCTCATCATCGGGCAGCACGAAAATGGAACCTTTGGACAGCTGAAGATCAACGATACCGCAGCTCTGTTCACAATCTGGGAGGAGAAGCACCAGGTCGACCTCCGCAAGTTGGTCACGGTCTTGGCCCGGCTACGCGAGGCCCTCGCAGAGCATGGAGGCAGCCACTGCGTCGCGATATATGAGAAAACGGCAAACACTCCCGAGATCAAAGTGTACCCTTCACATGTGTTGAGAAAGGCTGTGCCGGATGAGTTGAGGCGCACGCTCTGGGGTTCGTAGTTAACCGGCCCGCCCGCGCGTTGAGAATTGTGCCGCCATGAGCTCTATCCGAGCTTGCTATATTATGTTCTGGACATTCTCGGTTAAGGCTCACATTACCGTCCTAAGGCAGTTCATTCTCGAACTTCGGCGGTCGGTTTTTTCTTTTCTTTTCGGCAAAGCTTATGGAAGAAGAGAAGAGGCTGCGTACGGATAGTGACATAGGGCACGAACCCACGGCATATCCAACAGAGGCCGCTTAGATGCCGAAAGAATACCTCCTATTAATACAAGAGATTACAATGCGATCCTGCATTGTTGTGCTTTGCTTTTCCATCCATTTGGCTTCTACAAGTCTACTTTAGTATAGAGCATATCCTCGATTGATTACTTGGACCTTTTTTGAACAGGCCTGATTCGACAGACGTTCCTGTTGATCAACAGCACTAAAGGAGTTTCTCGATATAGAACATTAAAAAAAAAAGGGGGGGGGGGGGGGGGGGTGGGGGGAGTAACAGAACCAAAGCACCAAAGGTGTAGTTGTACTCGTCGAATGGATGAAACAACGTTGTCCATGGACCCTTTGAGCACCTCTCCGACATTACCCCCTCACATTGGTGTGGCCGATCGACTGTGGAAACTTTCACTTTGGCGCAGTCTGGAGAATGGGAATCTAGAGGGGTAGTGGGGTTCCTCCCGGACGAGAAGTTACAAATCAAGCCATCCTGACATGCGGACTGCTTTGATCTGATCTCAAGCGAATTCATGGCGCAGGTCGACCTGACAGGCCAGAGGACAATCAAATGCAATGCTTCAATGTGATCAGACTTCTGCTCTTGCGGTGACTGCTATCTTTGATGCGTCTAAAAAGCGTCTGTGAGCAGGCGGCAACTCGCCACGTCTGTCTCACGGACTGGCCAGCTTTGCTGAGTGTGAAGGACGCCGCAACGAGCTCCTCCAGCGTGCAGCCGTTGGCGTGAGGCGGGGTCCAGCAGGGTATCAGGGTCAGAAAAGCGCCTTGCGTATAGCCAGCTTGGGCAGTGGTTGGGGCGTACATCTACTTGTGGACCACTCCAACTGCAAGCCGTTGGAGACATTTGTGTCCCACGGCGCACGTCGCCCGCCGCCGATGGGCACTGTGCATTTGGTACTCTGCGGGAGGCCGCGGCGCACCGCACCCAGTGTACAAGCCAGAAGGGGCACACGTCCGGGGCGACCCCGGCGGCGGTGGACTGCCTGGGAGACGGCAGCTGGACTGAGCTTGTCGGGCGTGCTGGCTGCCTTCTTGGGAATGAATGTGTCTTTATAGAAGAGCTGTGGTTTTGGGATGCTTCACAAAGCCTCAGAGTATGCAGTCACCGATTTTCATGAGTCGAGATTCTAAGAATTACTCTACATGTTCTCGGATTCCTTGTCCAACACCGCTCTCGAGGACCAAAGTCTGTATAGCGCCTCGAGGAGCATAAGAACCGCACAGAATTGGTTGAGACTAGGCCCAACTCTTCGGTGAATAACGACCCATCTCCGCAGGCGTCGTCCCCGTCCCATCAAGTGCGATACAGGAGTTCCAAGAAATGTTTAAGTTGCTCAGGTGGCAGGTCGAAGGCGGCGCTTGTGGCGTCTAACTTTGGTGCGATCGTATATTGTGCCCACGCGAGACAGAAGTCGACCCAGGTGATGCTGAAGCCACTGGTACGGTTGTCGAGTTGGCAGGCGCCATCCACAGACGCTGTGGCCTCACCTCCTGGGTCGATATGTTTCGTCTGCCGGCACAGGCCTACGTGGTAGTACAAAATCGAGAGGATTTGGATGCTGAAGAGCACAACCTAATTGTCATTAGCGCGCGTTCGGAAGGACGACGGAGCACTTGCCGTTGGTGCAGGCGTGATATCCAGGATGGACGACAACACGGGCGCGCCGATGTACAGTGCCATCATGAGTCTGAGTTGACCGTATTTCGAGCTGAGTCCTGTGTAGAGAGGCGATCCCGAATAGGCTAGAAGGAAGGGGAGGTTAAGGACGCCGACGCTGAGGACGAGGGCACGGATAAGGCGCGCGTGCGGAGGGTGCCGGGCGGCCAGGTGCATGGCCTGCACCAGCATCACGCTTCCGGTGGCGACTATGCAGCCGGCACGGAGAGCCCCTTCAAAACCTGAGGACGTGAATGAATCAGCATGTTGCGGGTGTCAGTAAGGTCAGAGGCTACGCATACCGGGGATGCCTCTGTGCTTCATGTTGGGGTAGATGGCCACGACCACGCATGAGAAGGGGCAACACAAGTGCGATGGCTGAGATGTATATGGCCAGAATGGTGATGGACATGGGCGCAGTGTCTGTTGGACCCTCTGCGCAATCAGCGGATCAGTCCGTCCAACGTCGAACGTCTGAAAAAGGGCAGCAACATAAGTAGGAGAACTGTGTCGGTCATGGCCATCTGTTGGGGCGGCATCGTCGGACAATAGGCCGTCCGCAGGCGGTGAGCGTGTTGTTGACGCCAATCAGGGCGTGCGGCATCCGAAGACATTCCCCGTCTTCTCCATGGCGGTGATCGTCGGAAAGGCCGCCCATTCGGGGGTCGCCGTGGTTCAGGGGAGCTCGACGCAGGCTGAAAAGCAACAATGGGACAGTTAACACCACGAATGGCCCGACACGTCAAGATGAGCGCCGTGCCAGCCGTCGTGATGCGCAGTCGACACCGGGGCTGATGCCCTGGCTCGTTCCGTTGGCGTCTTGCGCCTGCCGACGTTGGCACGTCGTTGAATTGGCCAATGATCGGCGGGCCAGGGATCGGCGCCATCTGGGCGTAATTCGACGCCGCACGTTGGGCCCACCGACATGGATGCGGAGGACTGATAGACCAACACCGGCTGCGGGGGCGACCCTGCCCCCTCCCTGTGCGGGTTGGCGAGGGGGGCGTGGCGGCGTGCGAGGTGAATCCAGGCTTCTGTAGTCATCCTGGCGCACCCCTGCACCACCGTCCCATGCCCCTGCTCCTGATGCGCACGCCCCTCGCCCTAGCGCCACGCAGCGACGCACCGGCGCGGCGCTCGCTACATCCAGGTACCCGTCGGCCCCTGTTCAGGTACGCCGTTCCCTGCCATCCGCGGGGCGGCGCAATGTCTGCGAGGCGACCGCGACAGGCCCGGCAACGACGCCAGCGACGAGTGCTGTCTGGCCCTGCGACCCCTGGGTGATGATGGCTAACTTTGCGGGCATAAAGGAGCAAGACATGGAGGGTTCGGAGACGTCACGCTGAAGACGCGGCACCACGGCCGTGACGCTGTCTGACCTCAACGCGAACTCGTTCCACGCGGCTGCGAGCGCTGCAGAGACTCTCATCGTCGACGAACTCCCCTAGGAGGCAACCCTGAGCCTCGAATTCGACCAACTTGTTACCATCATTATTGCACTGCAGACTGTGCCCTGCACTGGCTCGCGAGATCACCCGGACGAAAACGCGCTGCGTCGTCTCATCAGACGTGCTCCCAATTTCCAAAACCTCTGCATCATCCAGCGATCCGCCCCAGAACCCCCTGAAAAGACCTCTGATCGTTCTCTTCTCGGCGGCGACCGGCTCAACGTCGACATCAAATACACCTCTGCAGACGACATAGGAGCGGCATTCGCGCTGTCCCCACAGGCCTCACCAGCCAAACCTGGTATAGAAAGCTGGGCCGCAACAGTCGCCTCAGCGTGCGGGGTTCGGCCCGCGCTTGCGTCTCTCACTCGGCACCCTGTCGTTCAAGCGTCTATGGAGCCGCCCGACCCGACGCACTCGGACGATCGCCGCATCTGGCGGTCTAAATGGAAAGATATTTTTCGTCCCTTCTCGCTCTGTATCATTGCCCATACGTCTGGTGACCGAGCTGCAGGGCGAGGGCTTCACCAGAGACGGGCTTGAGCTGTTTTTGGCGCGACCGAATATCTTTCTTTCGATGATAAGGAATGGTACATGAGCCGGACAGACGCTAAACCAGGACTTTTCTGGCAAATGACTGCCTCGGGCATGAGATCTGTCCGGGGAGCGGACCGAGCTAGAATCGGGGCTTGGGGGCCTGGGGGCGATGGTATGACCGCCCAGAGCCGGGGCTGGAGGAGGACACGGCCCATATATAACCTTCTAGATGGCTTCCTTCGCACCCTCCCTCGTACCTTAGATGCAGTTCTTTGTAGAGAACCTTTCCATGACCGTCGTATTACTTGTCTCGCTGCGTCAACCTTTGTGTGTTTGCGAGTTCTCAACTCCTCTCGTAGCATCTATCTTGAAATCTCAGGCGACAGCCTCCTTTCTTTTGTGAAGACGCTTGCCGACACGCCAGCAAAGTACTTGAAGGCTTCCTCCTTGCAGGTGGTGCCCCTTCTTTTCTGCAATCATTTTGACGAGACTGACCTTTTTGAGAATACAGGTCAACCCCGAGTCAACGGCTCTATAGCAATTATCGAGCAGCAGTTAGACAGGCAGGGGTCATTATATGTATGTTGATGAATATGACGAAGGAATGGCTATGGGAAGAAACCCGATATCTATATGATGAATGTACGATCCCCTGGATAAGGATATCCTTGCGGATATTACTCATACCTCTAGTTATGCATAAGTCGGGTCGCTCGAGGTGAAACAATTGCTGTAACGAATGTGCTGGGGCAGCCTGACAGCAATAAACCAGTCCGTTCTAACTCGACCCTTCTTTGTTTCGCCTAGGCATCCATGATTGCCAGTTTGCCAGTGCAGAAGGATCACTATGGACGTAAGCGGTCCCTGAAGCTAGGCTCCCCCACCCGTATATTTGCCATCCAGTCGGGAAACATGCGGCTTTCATTTCCGGCCGCGAGATGGGCATCTAACCAGGGGAAGCGGGCTTACGCTGGGTTTGACTGGACAATCACCACTGCAATCACTTGCATCTTGGAGATCATGCAGTGTTGAAGTCCAGGTCAACAGCGATAGGGTCTCCGAATTTCTTTTTGTTCAGGACGTAGGATCTCTTCACAGCAAAGTCCATCACGTTGGCATCGTCGCCCAATGACAGGGTGAACCACACACTCTGGAACCCGCCAGGCTGGCCGGAGCCGAGCTCATTGGCCACAGCCGACATGCGGGCAATCTTGGTGGTGTCCAGGCTAATTTAGCAGGGGCTGGTTTGCAGTGCCCGCCACGATCAGCGGCCACACAAGAAACCAATGATTAGCTTGCTATAAGAAGCGAGTGGAATCGGAGGCAAGGAGAAGAGGAGAAAACAACTCGAACAGCTGACTCAAAGAATCACGAGGTCAGCCTCCTTTGGATAAGTTAGCAGCTATATTGTACATTATCCCACCGCTATCACTTTCATATCCTGCTGTGCGTCTTGAAGAATCCTCTTCATCGACGAGTAAAGTCCAATCTCTAGCCTTTTCCACCTCTCGCCACTGGGAAACACCACTTTGCGTAACCTGTTAACCCAATTGATCAATGGTTGGTAGTATGGTGTGAAGTTGTCGCCTGCAATCCTAAGAAAGAGACTCTCATCACCAATCGTACCAACCTTTGATAGAATTAACTTGTGGTCGCTGTCATAATTCCAACTGTCAAACTCAGTCGGCCCAACATCTTTACCATCCTGCTCGTAATGAATGCATATCCAAAAAAGGACCCAGAATACCGACTCCAGGTCATGCATGAACGAATGCTGCTCGCTTAGCAGTGCCCCGATGGCCATAAATGCCCTTGTACCAGTCTTTCCCTTGGCGCCCGAAGCACCCTCCCGCTGCTCCCGAATAGCAAGGTCAAGGTCGATCAAGAACTCAGGCCAGGATGGGTTATCGCTATCTTCATTGATCATGAGATTGTTGATGGATATATCTCTGTGGAGGATGCCAGCCTTGTACAAAGACTCGTGGCCCTCAATGCAGCCTACCAGAGCAGCAAGTAGTGATGATCGAGAGCTTGCCTGATAGATAGGCTTACCATAATCCTGGAGAATGATACGTCGATGAACCCGATTTGGTGGTATACTTGCAGCCTTTGTGGGAGACACAGAGCAGGATCGCTTGCTTGGGGGCAAAGCGGAATCGGTTTGGCTGGACGGGCGCTTCCTGCTGGTGCTGCTGCGGCCCTTCCGCGGGGCATCTTTTGCTTTGTTGCTTGGTGGCATCTGTTGTCCTGGTCGGTAGTTTGTCGCTGCCGTGACATCTAGGCCACGTCGAACATTGTTCCAGATATCATCGTTTGTCCCATGAACCTGGACCGTTTCGTGGTGATAATACCGGGCCACATTCACGACGCCTTTGTTCGTCACTTCACGTAAGAGCTTGCCTTCCTCACCACGTTCAAGGTATTGCCATGAATCCTTGACAACAAGCGGCGTCTCCGGATGCCCTTCGGGGTGGGCCTTCCAACAAGTTGCAGCCCGGCCAGCGACACAGCGTGCCCGTAGGATCAACCTATCAAGAACGATCCGCTCTGTGGAACCATTCCGCTCGATTTCGATGAAGCGTTCGCCGTTCAATGTCATGACTGTTGGATCAAACCCTAGGGCTTCTTCGTCCATCCAAAGGAACCCCAGTATTGTGGACACAAATTGCTGCCCATCTTCATTGATGTTAAACCGCTCTGACGCAATGGCTCCAAGCCGGTCAAATGCCCACACCCTCATGAGAGGTCCGCAGAGTGTAAAGCCCAGGACAAAGCGCCGGGTGTCCTGTGCAGCAAGCATCTCCCTCGCATATCTCCCAAGGTCGAGCCACGCCTTGGAGGCCGTGTCCGCAGTTGGATTGCTCTTGAGTTCTCCAGGTACCAGTATTTGCTTCCAGTGGTATCCGGGCTCTTGGCCAGGCTTCATCTTGTCGATAAACCCAACATCCAGTTTGCGATCTGCTCTAGAGCCCTGCATTGTGGTGTTGGGCTGTGCTAGGAGGTCTCGTTGATGTGTCGTATTTGGCGTCTGTGTCTTTGCAAACAGTGCTAGCTTCTTGACAAAGTCCGCAAGCCACTCCAGCACACTTTTCTCGTTTGCGTCCTGAGGCCATCCCTTCCAGCCGTCTTGGAAGAAAGGATCGTTACTATCAAGGCACTGATCGAAGAACTCCTTGGATGCTGCTTCAAGTCCTGCTAGGCTCCCGAAATATGCGTCTCGAAAGCCGGGGAGCCCTACATACATGGTGCCGAGCTCCTCTTTCAGTACCTCGTCAACATATCGGCGGTGCTCAGATGAGTTTGCAAAGCTGCTCGTGTTGTGCAGCCAGGGGGTTTGTTGAAGTGAAGACGCTATCGATCGCGGAGGTGGGGTATCTTCGATGGCGAGGTTGCTGACTTGACGCCAAATCAGCTCATCGTCAGGGTGGTCGGCAAGAGCTGCTTTCAGGAGAGGTTTGGCTCGATTGAGGTCGAAGTCGTTAGATGTAATTGATGTATTCAGTCTCAAAAGATCGTCTCGACGAGTGCCATTACCTGTCCTTGTAGGAAGTAGGCGTGCAGCAGGAAGAATCCGCAGTGTTGAAAGAAGGATCAAGACAAGGTCTTGAAGATCTGCAAACATGATCAGTTAGAGAACAACTGGCAGTTGCGTCTTTCCTACCGTCCACCTCGAGCTCGTCCACTGCTTGCAGCTTGCAAGTAGGGTCTCTGCAGGTCGATTTGAATGCATGCAAGAAAGCAGAAAGACCGCTGCCGATTGGGTTTTCGTCGATAATGGTTGAATCGGGGTGCTCTTCCATGATAGGTGGGGTGCTGCTAAACGTGATGTTTGGATGATGGCATTGCATTTGCAGTCGCGTCGCAGAGGAAGTCGTCGCGCTACGCATTGACCACTCACAAGGCTGGGATAACGTTGTTCCGATAACTGGCTGTGACACATATGTGGGGCGATCGACCGGTCTCATCTGCATGCAGAGCGGCACAGCTGCATGCAGTCTAGCAATCACCAACACTACTAGCAGTTAGAGGCAAACGCTGCCTCATCGTTATGCCTGTCCAGGAGAACAGACAATTCACGCCAAGTCCTGTTTGAGCCTGCCCGAATATTGATCCGACGCGATGCTAGGACAATGTGAGTCTTCAATTAATTTCTCGCCGTGTTCATCTGTATCGTTGCTAGCACCGCGGAAGAGACCGAGATGCTACACCAGAGCCTTGGCGATTCTCACAATCTCCATTGAACTCTTCAACGATCTCTATCGTAGGCAGGCAGCTCATCCGAACAGCCGACAATCTCGGCCTAAATCCGATGTACGCAATATAATATTCTGGCCGCATGACGGACCTCCTCTAGAGCCATAAAGGTGGCACCCTTGATTATCTAAGGAGATTCTCCTTAGACAAAACTTGATGACATGGCCCGATGATTGTTACTGTCTTGGGTGGAGACGTTGGTACGAACCCCGATTCTTCCCACGGCCATTGATGCCTTTGTTGACGTCTTTGTAGAGATTGGCAAAGAACCAGTACATCTTGCAGTCGTCGTCAGCGAGTCCATCGACGTTGATTGAAGATATGCCCAATCCGTCGCTTCCATCATCGTCTTCTCATGCTACTTCAATGGAATCCGCGCCATGGGCGAGTGCCTGGCACACCGAAGTACACACTGTGCCACGTGGTAGCGATCGCCCAGCCAGCACTGGCCGACGTCCTCCAGGCTTCGGCTCCACACTCGTTCAGGTCGCAGCAGAAGCGCTCGGCAGAACCGGGGAACGCCATGGCGCCGCGACAGTGGCTGGGCCTTGGCTACCCCCGCGGGTTTCATAGCCGGGACCTGCTGTTGTCGATGGAAGTGCAGCACGTCTTCTTAGATTGATGCAGTTGATTCGGCGATCTAGCAGCAGGTCTGAGCTTCACAAAGCACGACAAACGAAGGGACAATCTTCTGCAGGCCGCGCTCCGTTCATTCCGAGTCCGGCAGCCAGCAGGTGGCTCGCTCGCAGCCGCGGGCGAAAGACAACCGGCGAACTGCCCTCAGAAGCCAGAAGCGCAGCTTGTATCGTGACTCATGCCAAAGCGCGGCTCTTCAACCAGGACCTTCTCAATCGTCCTTCAACATATCCCATCCCCCTACGCAGCTCGTCGAGACTTTGCCAGTCAACAAGTCGGTGAGGAGGTCAAGTCGGGACGGCACCTGACTTCGCTTATATCTAGCATCGCGAGCTCCACTGTTGTCTCAGTGGGAGCGACGTAATGAGGGGTTTGTAAGTCTGGGAAGCTGCTTGGCAGCGGGTTGCAATGCATATACCACGGCACCACGACGTTCGGAACGTCTTCCAACCATTTACTTTCATCCGGCAATAGCGACTAATGGCAAGGAAGGTTGGAGGGGAAGATAATGGGACGTGGAGCTCGCCCACGATTTTCGGACAAACAACGCGGTGGAGTCGGGGATCTGTCTACGTTAGCTTCACCTGTAGTAACTCGGCAGGTAGTGCGTCGAGGCGGGCCATTCGTTGGCAAGAGGCACCTAATTGGGTTGGCGTGCTTTGTGAGATGAAGCGCATCTAAGGGGAAATGTGTGCGGAGACAGGAATATTAGTGCTCCACACTTTCGACGAAAGACCGTGCAAGTTTCTCCGAATCTAATCCACTTTGGGGTTTTATCCATGAATCAAAGGTGATCTTGACTAATTGCATGCGACCTGACGTGTCCACCTTAGGGTCCGCTCGTACGCGCCACAGACAAGAGGGCTGCCGTACGTACAGCCAAACTGTATGCATCCCATGCATCCCCTCCTCGCGTACTAGAAGCAGGGAGCGCGTCAATGCGTACGCGTACATAGATCAAAGCTTGTACTCTGCTCGCATATACCCCTCCAAATTTTGGCCGCGTACGATTGATCGTGACAACAAGCTGTGTTCTCGCATGATGGTACATCGCGATTTCTTGCTGTCAAGCCAATAGGTCAACGTCAACTATTGATCCGTGGAAGGTATGATATCCGGGCGTTTCAACCGCAACCATTGCCGTCCAATGGCACTCTAGACAGCCACTTTCACAGCCAACATAGGATAATTCTGTTTGTACATTGGCATTCATCTGCCTCTTGGGTGCATACCTAAGCCTCCAGCCTCATGATGGATCGGGGGACGAACTTCGGGACCATTTACGCGACCAAAACAACACGCGCCGTGCTAGAAATGCTGAAAAAATCGGCGAATGGACCAAAAGTAGGGGCAGCGCTCTCCGCTTCGGTATTCGTCAACACAACCGCAAGGCTGAAAACTGGATGATTTAGAAAAGTCTCACTATGAATTGACTGGCTGGGTCCTGACCCAGATTGTCGACTCCCTTCATGTGTGGATGTATGAATGCATCCATTACGTTCAGCACATAGATGCCGCCTAAAATCCTCTGCGACTTGACAGCTCCCGAATACATATCATGAATGGCCCTACATTGCGCCCTTACACGATTTCCGACAGAACGGGACCCGGTTAACTTAGAACGTCAGGGGAGGTGTACCACTAGCTCGCTTACAGCAGGTTCTCATGTCTTTATGTCAGCAAGCGAGGCTTTTTGGCCTTAGGCTATATGTTCCAGCCAGCCAATTCCTGCGGATTCGCGCTGGTTTGTCTTTGTCACAACTCCATACTCTTTCCGCCTTGATCCCTCTCGTCTGTTGCCGCAACGGCGCGCCATTGCCAATTCGAATGACCTCAGAAGAGGTAAAAGTTCAAGAACTCCTCAATCAGTTCAAGGACCTGTTCGAAGAGCAGCACCCGGCAGCCATCAAGGCACCGGCGGGGTTTGATAAAGCACTACGGAAGCTCGGACAACTGAAATTCTCCAGCGAGTTTTACGAAAAGAGCTTCGACTATTGGTTCGCCTACGTGATTCTAACTTGTCGCGACGACAACTTTGATGTGTCCCTACAAAACCTATCAGCCAGTAGCCTGCAGCAGCTCCTGAGTGGTGTATGTGAAATCCCGGTCAGTGATTCTTTCATAGCAATCAAAAAGCACACGTTCGACGGATCACAACGTGGATCAAGACGCTGTAGTGAGTCTCCTACCGGCTTAGCTGCTTCCATCTAACTTTTCAGGTCGTTTAGAGGGCGCCGGCATCAAATGCGACCAACGGTTGTCAGACCCGGACCGACCCTCGAAACGTATGCGATTTGAACAAACGACAGCCGACTTGCTCGATAGTGGGACGGGGAGTCCGATGCATGAGGAAGAGGTCGCAAGAGCTCTAAACTCACCGTCTACCGAGCCAGAAGCGGGGAATCTGGCGAGTCCAGACAAGTCCTCCCCGGCGTCGGTCTTCTGTATTAAAGAAGGGTACGATTATGCATGGCCGCGAGCAAAGACACTACCATTTGTCTTCCCGCACTATTTATGTTCCATCATCGTTAAGCATGGCGATGAAGCAACTCTCATGTTGTCTTTCGGAAGTCAGCCCGATGATTGCCGCCTCGTCTTCGACATCGAATCAACCGATGTACCGCACGTTGCTCGGGAGCTGTTCGGCATCCATGTACGAGACAACAATCAACAACGTCATGTCTATTTGCCCAACGGCGCTACCATGGAGCTGCATGGCAGAGTTTCCTTTAGAGGGGTCGAGGCGACCGCGGTGGAGAAACTGACGGGAATGTTCATTAGCGACGGGTTCAGGAGAAGTCCGCGACGTGCGACGGAGCTCAGTCAAGGACTACTCTTATCGGATTGCTTGTCTATGGAGTTGGGAGCGCCCGATGACCGTTGTAGGCTTCAGCTCGTGCTAGATGCAGAGACTCTGACTGCAGTGTATCACAAACTTTGGCAGTCCTGAATCCATCCTATTGATCTTTCCCTTTCCTCAGTTCCCCGCCAGTCAGGTAGGCTTGCCAGCCTTCCTTCAGTGTCCACTGCCCGGTACTTCGCATCGGCTTCCACTCGTTACTTCCGGGTTCTTTGTAGTAGGCGCTTGCTGATTGCCACAATAGTGTCTCCTTATTTTGGTAAACACCTGAAGTTATTGCGGCAGCAGAGAGCCAGACTGCGTCGTCGAGCTCTGAACTCGGATCCTGATAGACTGTTAGCAATAGCCCTCGAGTTTGGGAATGATGAATGCTTGCCATGGAAGAAAGAGAGGGTCATGTGTATCTGGCCGAGGTGTTCATCGACGCACGTTGAGGTCGGTCTGTCATCGTAAGAGGGTAATGTCTAGAGAAGTGCGAACAGTTAGCCGAACGAGCCAGGCACCAAGGGCCGTATCGCTGGTGCCCAACGCTTTGCCAGTATTTGCCGCGGAAGAAAACTGGGTGCGCCAAGCCATCGCACGTGGCAAGTATTACTAATAGTTAGGGGCGACGGCGCTAATTCCGAGAGCGAACCCGGCTCGTACGCGTACAGGTGCTGGTACTTTGATCTGTGCGCGTACAGAACCAGTGCTGTATCCTCTCACGTGATCATCTGGCATCGCGACGACCAGGTGGTTGTTCTTGTCGTTTCTTTTTGGTTTGCGGGGGCACGGTGATGGTGCTATTAATCGACATGTTTGCTTCCGTAGCTTACTAATTACTCAAGTTCTTTGTCAGTGTCAACTCGCCCCGCCGCATTAGGTTGCCGCTGGTATCTTTGTGTCAATCACGAACATGAGTATTCGTCGGAATAATCGACGAAGGTAAGCACACTATGAGACGCGTACTTCGTTCAATTTCCCACTTCACCATTCCATCCTGTCATGGGCTTCTGAGAGGTGTTCACCGAGCTCCCAAGAATGTTCACATACAATTAGCTAGAGTGACATACCTTCCCAGATGATCGATCACGGCTACAGACCGTGGCAGATATTCTGTGGTTACACACTTCCCCACGCACGATGTATATCCGCAGTATTCAACAGCCAGGGCTTGGGTCGGGCGTACATATCATGTTGCCCTGGCCGCATAACTGGTCTGGCCCAGGGTCGTCGTAGCGAAATCATTGGAGTCCCCTACATCGCGTCTAAAACGGTACACGATGGTGACTCGTCAATGGCACTGCGGGATGCCTGATTGACTAAGATCATCGTGCGCCACGAAGCTGCGTATGCGGACTACCACCTCTACCCAAGGGATATTAACATACGTCCAAGGGCTGAAACCATGATGAAGTTGCTTTCCGATGCCCGCGAGTTGGACGCAGACGGACAGCATCACCGGCGGTGGGGACCATACTAGGATCTTCTCCTTGATCCATAAGCCCTTGCCCGACTGATATATCCAGGGCTCCCATTTAGCAACCAAGCCTTAAACATGAGAGATACAGAAGGACATCACTGAGACACCCGGAATTT